CCTGCGCTTGCAGCAGCCACTGCTGGCCGCCGCGGTTGAGCACTAAGACCTGCAGGGCACAGATCTAAGTTGGGCATGTCAAAACCAGGCGCTTGGGGATCAACCGGCAGGAAACCAACCCAGATGCAACCCTCACGATTGTCGCTGGCCAGCGGAGGCTGCTGCAATGCACCTTATGGCCGAGGCAAGGGATGGGGCGATTGACTCTCGGGTAGAAACATTTCTAGTTGTTTTGTTCAGCATACAATTTTAATTGTATTGACTTGGCAGAGCGGTTCTGAACAGAGCTGACCTGCTTTGGTCAGTGCATTCATACCAGTTCCAGTGGGTTCTTGATTTCATGATATTTCATGATCATCTCGCATGGTTATATCTCAGACTGGCGCCCCAAGGACGAAATCTTGCACTGATCCACGGCCCATGGCATGCGGCTCAAGATGTTGCCCGGCGGCCATGGGAGGAAAGACCATTCCTGGAGTGAAAATGCAGCCCCAAGCCACCCTAAACCTACCCTTAAGCACCCTAAACGTACCAAACGTGCCTTGAGCCCATCCGATCTGAGCCCTCACGCCCTTCCGCCAAAGCGAGGGACACCTCTCCCGCGACTTGCGGCGCAGGCCGTCCGGCCTGCTGCATGCAGCCCCAGTCCGGCTTTGGACACACTTGCCTGGGCGCGCGTGGAAAAAGAGATCCCTGTCAGCCCAGAGGCACCTGCCTTTGACTTTTGACCTGCAGAAAAAACTTGTCTGGGAAGGTTACTTGAAACAAATACCAGCTGCTTGGAAAAGATCCTTCAGTCCGTGCCGTGAATGTCTTGGTTGGCTATTCTTTGGCATCATCTTTTGTTGGAGAACTATTGGGGGCTGCTTCCCTGCGTGTTGCAAGCAAATGTCACCCCCTTCTCCTTGGGGTTGTGTTTCCGTTTCCGGGAGGCGGAAAGAGGCGTTTATCCCACCTTGTAGCAGATTCCTCATTGGGTCTAAAGGATCTTGCCGATGAGGCTTAACCCGGCCCAGGACAACTTGCTGAGCGTGCAGCTGAAGCAAAACGTGCTAGTGGAACGCACCTGCAAGATGTCTGTTGTGAAACCCAACAACCCATCGCAATGACAGGTAGAGCCAGCGTTGCATGGCAAGCTAGCAACAAACGTTTCAACTTTCTTCAGGCCTGAATGCAATTGCATCTGCTCATGTCAATGCGAAAGGTAGAAGATACATTCATGTCATAAAAAGTAACAAGTACAGCTTTCATGGGGCTAGCAACCTGGCCACCAATTCCAATCCAGCACTCATCTACAGACCTTGCTGTCAACTTTCACAACATGACATATTAGAGTTCCTCAAAAATCCGTGCAAATGCCCAACAGTCTGCAGACCGTGCACCCAACTGTCCAGCATTCTCTCTTCCGCGTTGTATGTTGAAAGAGCTCAGCATTCGGCTCAAACACATTGGGGAAAATTGAGACTTGGATGGAACCGGGCTGTTTTCGATAATGAGAGGGGAGTTCACCCATGTTGCGCCATATTGTTTGACATGGCCAGTTGCTCATGGCTTCATTACCTATGAATTGCTCTCTCCTCAGTAGATTGGCCAAACAAGTCCCTACTTGTTGTACGCCGCCGAAAAGGGTGTCCCGCAAAGCAGAAACTCCCGGACCTCAGACCACAGAGACAAACTGGCCATGGGTCAAAATTCAAATCGTACCCCCAGTGAACATCCCAATCCCCACTAAAATAGACTAAAATGGGTGGTGAAATCACCTACCCCACAATGGTACCATTGCTTTTGCCACAGCCAACTGAACAAATCCACTTCTTCTTTCGCGCCGGTCCCGTCCGTCTTCCATCGGAGTTCCCCTAAGGCCGCAGGCAGCTGCAAGGGCTCCACCGGGAAGCTGAAGCACACGTCCAGCGGCAGCACAAAGTCTCCCACCTCCCAGACCAAGGCCTGACGACCGAAAACTCGATCCGTGTCCCGCAAAAGGCACGGACATATGGCTTGGCTCACTGATTTGTGCGGGGCAGGGTGCGGGCTATGTCCTCCCAAAATTGACGTGAAAATAGAGCACCAATAAGCTTGACCGGTGGGCAGAGCAGGATGTGTCCACATCTTGCCAGTTGGCAAGATGTTGCTTGGGAGCCCGAGACATTCATCCTTCGTTGACGTAAACCTGCATTATCTGGAAGCTCACATGCAACCCCACTCAAGAAGTGCTCTCTTCCAAACAGGTCGGTCTCCAATTGGGGACCCCATAAAAAGAAGTGCTTTCTTTTGGTGTCCCTTTAACACCACCCAAAAAGGGGGGAGGGGTTCCATAAACAAATGAGAGAATGCTTTGTAAGGGGGGTGGGGGGCTGCCCACCCTCATGCACATGGATTCTCGCCAAGAGATAAACACATGTGACGAGAGCTGGCAAAACTACATATCGTTCAACTACTGAACAGCTAGAGGTGTGCAGCAAAAATTACATGGAATGTTTGATAAAGGATTATCGTGGTTTTCTTCCTTATCGTTTTACATGGCTTCGTGACTGAGTATTGCTGTTCCCTCACGTGCAAGAAACGCTACCGAGTCAGTTGTGCCGAAGGTTGCTGCTCGTCTCGGACGCCGTCTGGCCATTCTTTCTAAATGCGGCTCAACAGCGCTACGGGACACTTCATGGGTTCTCGGTACGCAGCTCGAACATCCGCTTCTTCAACCATGCCTTCAGAACTAATTGTGTGCAGGCAGCTGGTGTTCAGACTTGATAGCTGGTCAAAATCCTGAGCTGCAGCAGTATCCTGAATGTGCAATGACTCTTCAGTGCTCACTTTTTTGTGAAGGGCAAACATGTTGCAGAACCTTCGAATGATTGGATGCTGCTGTTGTCCCAAAAGAACCAGCCTTGCGCACACGCACACTCAGACACAGACACAGACACAGACCCAACCACAAACGCACACGCACTACAACTGCACACACACACACAAAGCGCGATGCATTAGATTGTTGTTAGTCATGCCTCTTGGCACAAAAAAAAACATGCCAAACAAAACCCAGGTTGCATTCTCTGCAGCTGCAAATAACCTCTTCGAACTGGTTTGCATGGCTTGTCACACCTTTTCCAATTATGCGACATGCAACTGCAACAGCCCACTGAGACTCAGCGTTCCCGCGAGTCGAACTGCCTTGGCACGCTCCGTGTAGACCGACCTCGTCCACTCCACTTTCTGCCTGGCGAAGACGGATCGAAACGTCGACTCAGCTGTGTCCAGCCCCGTGGCATGCGGTCGCAACCCAAGAAGCAAGCCATCGCCCCGTCCAGGCAGAAAGCGAAAGGCCCGCCAGGGTGGTTGAGGTGAAACAGAACTTAAAGCGAAGGAAACAGAACTGAACCAGTCTGCTCTTACAGATTTGGAAGATCAGAATGCAAGTTCTGCAGCGTGGGTTGGTCCAGTTTTGTCATCTTGCCAAATGTGAACAAAACGTGGGGAATTTGGTTTATCCGATCCGCAGCAGCAAGGGTCTGCATGGAACTCCGCTTTTTCACTGGATTGGCATTGAGCGGTTGGAGGGGCAAGAGCCATAGATTCGCATTGAGTCTCACTGTATTGCACCATCTTGAAGAAGATTGAGAGACATTGCTAATTCAAGCTGGCGCGGAAACGGTACCCTTCCGATGTGTGTCTTGTCTAATGGGGAGGAAGGAGATATGTCCGTCTCAATCAAGTCAAGCTTCCCCCAATGAAGGAACACTGCAAAGGAAACTCTTGCAACTTGGTGTAAACCAAAGGACAGGGCGCTTGCAATCATCAGAAAGGCCAAGGGCAGGCATGACGTAGAACGGGCACAATCAGCTTCTGGCAATTTGAAACCTGAAACAAGCGAGTTCTCTGGCATCAAAGAAGTATGCAGCAGGTTCACGAAAGGCTTGCTACTGTGACCAAAAACCTGAAAAGTAGGCACAGATTAATCAGAGCAATCATATTGTGTGCCTCCACCCGGGCGCCCCAGGTTGGCTTCCTTTCGGCTCCTCTTTCATATCATGTTCGAAAGGCAGTCTGCATCTTGAGACTAACCCATGTGGGTTTGTCTCAAAAGGGGTTTGTCCCAAAATCACTGACCCCCAAGAAAACAGACCTTTGCAACGCTCGGAAAAGGATGCCCTCAAACCAGGATATAAGACTTTACGGAGGACTCTGTGGACATCATTCACATGGGGATTGATGTCCAGCAACTGTGAGGGTGTTCCAACTGTTGAAAACGCAGCCAAGTTGAAGCCCGCTAACCCACCAACCCCATGGTTTTACCCACCAAACAGGGTTGGGAGCTCCAAAACCCAAAGGGCGAGCCTCATCCCGCGGATGCCCTGCCCGCGGATTTGTGTAAACACGGCGTTCCAAAGCAAATCTGCATCTACCAACAAAAAAAACGCGGTCTGAAAGAAGGGATGCCTTCAGGTCCCTGAAGCAAAAACCTTTATGATGAGCTCATATCACCCCCTCCCCAAGGCTTCACCCGGCCCCCCCCCCCGGCCCCCCCGGCCCCTCGAACCCCCCGCCTGATGCGCATGCCTGCGGGGCAGTCCAGCGTCCCCTCTGCCAGCTGCTCCTGAGGCACCTGGCGAGCGCCCCGACGAGGCGAGTCGACTCACTGGCCCAAAGCGCCTGCCGAGAGTCTCCGTGACCCCGAAAAATCGGTTCATGAGCCCTGATTTTGGGTAAGGGCCCCCATCTTAGGGTCATATGGGTCAACATGAATGCACCAGACCGCAGGTTTTGGTCCATGTTTCTGCTTACCAGGGTTCCATTTGGGGTACCTATTTTTGACCCACAACTCACTTGCCCAAAGTACCTGGAACTAAAGATTCAGCTTTGGGGAAAAATGGACCAAACTCAGGAAACCAAAAAGGTTGAAAAAGGGTGGCTTTGGGCAAGTGAGACCAGAACCAGGGTTCAACTCTCCAAACCAATCCAAGCGATTAAGGGGAACACACATTAATTTAACTATAATTAAACAATGTAACTTGGATTAACAAAACGTGACGAAAACAAGTAGAAAGCAGTTAAAGGGAAACTGGTTTAATTTGTATAACTAAATAATGTAACTTGGATAAACAAAAAGCAACGAACACAAGTAGAAAGCAGTTAAAGGGAAACTGAAGTAATTTGTATAACTAAACAATGTAACTTGGATAAAAAAAAAGTAACGAAAACAAGTAGCAAGCGATTAAGGGCAACCTGAATTAATGGGTATAACTAAACAATGTAACTTGGATAAACAAAAAGTAACCAACACAGGTAGAAAGGTATTCATGGGAACCCGACTATTCTGACGCCTACCCAAATTGCCTGCCCTAAGAATCTGGGAACCTCAGTGTCCATGCAAGCCTATTAAAATGGGGCTGTGTTCCTTTTGCGGCCTTTTAAACCACAACAAACACTCCTTTTCAGGGAAACTCCTTCCAAGAAAGGCGCCACTGGAGGTATGCCCGCTGGAGAAAGGAGTGAACAAAAAGCTCCTCTGAAAATGTCTGTGGGTTACACCAGGGTTTACGGTTCAGCGCTGTCCCTTTTCGGCTTGGTACAAATGAAGGCGTGGCTTGGAAGGGACGCAAGGGAAATCATCTTTGGGGTCCAAAAATTCGAGGCACTCCTGCACAAACGCATAGGAGTGAGAGCCGTACAACCTCGAGCACTCAAGCATTCATGCAGCATGCATGCATATGACCAAACCACGCCATGGAAAATAATACCTGATCCGCTTCAGGCATCTGATCCGAACCAACATCTGGCAACATCTGGCGACCACCCCAGCCTCATCCCGACTGAGCACCAGCTCTGCCAGCTCCATGTGCACGTCCAAGGGGTCCTCGCCGCATCCATGGATGTAGCATCTTGCTAGAATCAAACCGGGCTACATGTTTCTTTGACATTAAAACCATATGTTTTACTAAAAAGATTGTATGAATACTGTGGATGGACGAAATCTTGCACCACGTTGAAACCATGGGAAACCATTGCTTGTTGGTAGTTACAGGGGAATCATCATTCTAGAGTTTCTTGGGTGGTGCAGGAATTTGTCCATCCGCAGTACCAAAAAGAGCGTGCTCAATGTCAAAAAAAACCGGAGCCAGATTCAATCCCTTCTTGGATGCTTGGCATCCTAATTCACAAGCAAGCCCCTCACCTTGACGCACAAGTCGTAGTACCGATGCAACAAGCTGAGATCGTGCCACAGTGATCATAGTGTCTAAACTGACTTTGCCATCTCTTTGAGTGTAGGTGCCATTGTCAGAAAGGCCTGGTTGCTCCGACAAAAATACAGGCAACAAAAGTAAGGCAATCCATGCACAACAGTGATTGTGGAAGAACTGGAAACTCACAAATATACTCAGCCATATGTTAAAGAAAAGGGCATGTGTGAAGAGTTTCCACCGGTCACAGACGGCGGAATCCGCAAATCATGTGCTGGGAATGAAGCCTTGAAGAAAAGCGGATCCCTAAAACGTCTTTCCCCCATCAGCATGTTGATCTCAACCATATTTTCTCACCATCGATTTCTCTCCAAGCACTCTCAACATGACCCTTCAAATGGTAGATTCATGGAATGCACCCTCTCCCCAAACGGCACCCCGAAAGAAAAAAGAAGAACACTGGGTTGGATTCACCCAGTTCGGACCCTCCCCCCGCAATCCGACTCCTCTGGCCGCTGGAACTCCAGAATCAGCACCCCGCGCGCGTCGCGGAGGATGCCTCCCAGAAGGGGGTTGGAAGGGGGCCGTTCTTGGGGGGGGGGGGGGTTGGGGGTTGAGGGTGGGGGGGGGGGTGCGCTGATGCTCCTGATTTGTCGCAAGACCACGAGCAAAACCCATTTGCAATCGTAATCCAAGGCTGGAAGACTGCGGCAAGCAAACAAACCAGCCTGTTCTGGGGTTGGGTTGTGGAAAAATCAGGCAACCCAAGGCAACCAAAGGCAAACTGTTGCCATGTTAAGTGGATGTGTGTTTTGACACACATAATGTCTGCACCAGTACATGGTGCATGGGCCAACACCCAAACTGATAGTTCAGACTAATCTCCATCAGTCAGGGACGGCAATCCTCATCATCTACCCCATGGTTCTTTCCCTGTCTTTCTTTTTTTTGGGGGGGGATGGGGAGCATATACAACCTTTTCACTGATGTTGATAATCTTGGCAGATTCAGGGTGTTCCCACAAAAACTGAAGGATCCCCTCTAAAATGGGACACTACCCTCTTGATCAACCAGGGGCTCATCAAGCTTGGATTCCCATTCTGCTTTGTCTTGCACTCGCTGTGCGTCAGTTTCGAGCATATCGGATTGGGGTGCAGGATTCCCGCCATTCATGTCAGCAACATACTGCGCTCCTGCACCAAGCATGCGGGGCGGCGCGGCATGGACGCCACCATTTGCACAAACCCCAAACCGCCCAACCCCCCCGCCCCCAACCCCCCAAAACCCCAACCCGCCGCCCTTCCTAGCCTCCCTTCCCGGAGAATCGGCCCCGGCTGAGGCGGTTCAAGAAGTCCTCGGGCGTCTCCGCCACAGAGTCCTCCACTCGCGTGCCTGTCGGACGGGGCTCAAACGCCGCAGGTCGACGTGCGGAGAGCTCCTTTCCGGGGGTGGTGTCCCAAAACCGAAGATTGCTTTTGGGGGCGGTGTTCCTAACCAAGAACATTTTGAGGGGTTCAACGAGTTGCTTTTGAAGGGGCGGTTTGCCTTTCAACCAGCATGTTCGGAGAATCAGTTTGAGGGTGTCTATGTGAGAGCGTGGAATAGCTCCCAATCTCAGTGTTCAATCACTATCTTCATCAATCACTTACCCACCTATGTCCTATCTATGAGTGAGGGGTGGGTGGAAGATGAAGATAGAAATAAAAGACTGCGAGTTGCTACGGCACTTCAATGGGCCCATTTCTAACCAGCGTTCCAAAGGGGAATGCAACACATAGGATCCCATTCGGATGCTGGTCGGAGGGTAACGATGAGGAAACTAAGCAGTCACCAAACATGTTTGATCTGCAAAGCGACATGCTGTGGTTCTCCGATGCCGGCTCAGGTTCCTGCTCCAAACGTGGTTCACTTGCTCACTTCATGCTTGCAGCAATTGCGGCTGTTCTGTTCAATGATTAAACACACCATACTGATACATGGCCACGACAATGAGCCAATATGAGCGGCATTTGTCAGCCTCCACAGCGCTCAACACACGGGAATTGGCATTGCTTGAGCGCACAATCTCTTGCAGCCAAGCTTCAGCAAGGCTCCCATTCACTTGTCGGAAGCACTCAAGACATTGGCTTTCTGCCATCAGGCAAGGAACTACGAACTAGGCCCCCATCAACACTGCACATGACAATTGCTTACTCCCGGCTTCCTTCTAAAATGTTCCTGGCGGATTCCTTCCGACATCACCAGAAGCGCCAAAAAATACACTGCTCCCAAACAAACAAGCTCAGACCACGTTTCCATGCTTTTCCAGAACCCACTTTTGAAACCCCCCGTCTCGTTGCACCCGCTACAGAATCAAAGCTTCGGCCCTTTGACATGGGGACGTGAAAAGTGGAAGAGCCCTGGTGCCCTTTGATTCAGTGGTTGCCACCCTTGTTTGGCAGAAAAACCAAACCAAAGGAACCCCACAGAAACGCCCAAACCAATACCAGGAAACCACCCACCCCAACCCAAAGCCGCCCTTTGATTAGTTGGTTACAACCCAAGCCTTTGGCAGAAAAGCCAAACCCCCAAAAAATACCAGGACACCACCCTACCCCAACCCAATCCTACCCCAACTTTTGGCAAAACAGCCCAAAGCAGCAAGCCAAAGGAACCCCACAGAAACGGCCAAACCAATACCAGGAAGCCACAAGCCTGCCTTTTTTTTTGGCAAAACAGTACAACAGTCCAACAGCCGCCGCGACCGGTGCCGCTGCGCGCCTGGCGGCACGTAGCGGATGGAGTCCACTACGGCGCCGGCCGGCACCAGGCGGCCCCCAATCTTCGCTGCGCGGGAGAGCGCCTGCGCTCCAATGGGATATGGCCAGTGAAAAAGGACGGCGACTACCAGTCCACCCCGTTTCGCGTGGAACCTGACAGGGACCCGGTCCCTTGAAAAGGACGATAAAACGTCGTCCAGGAAATCTCTTGTGAGGTTCCATGTGAAAAGGGGTGAGGGTGCCACTATGGTAGGTGAGGCTTTTCTTACCTCGAGGTTTGACATGGTTTGCCACGTTTACATAGCAACTGGAAGCAATCGGACTATTTGAAGGGGACTAACTCCGGTTGCTCCGGTGAAAACCATGGGTTGTAATCTACTACGTAGGTTCAACAAAGCAATGGGAAATGGAACAAACCTCTACCCGCGAGGACCTGGGTTGACTGGCTTGCCCGCCCACGCCTGGGTTCTCCGTTTCATGCCAGTGGAGCATATCTCCGGGGAAGCTCTACCCCGCTTCCAACCATCATGGATTTGATTTCCAGCGATTCCCCAAGAGTCCGAAGGAACCCTCCCTTTGGTGGGGTCCAGGTGGGAAAAAAGGTGAATGAGTCTAGGGGTTGATTCCTTTTCGATTCTTCAGCATCCTGGACCCTCAAGTGTTTCTACGAACCGCCTAAGAAACAAGAACGCCAAGTTATTCTATGTCGTTTGAGGGTCAAGGATCCTTCTTTTCGACCACCCCCGTTTTCAACCCGGGTTTCCGGAGGCTCAGAAAGAAGGATCCCCGGAAAGAATGGAAATGGAAGGCACCCTTAGAATGAAAGTTTCATCACCACAGGGTGGTCTGAAGATTCCTGTGCCCAAAACAAGAGCCGACTGACAATCACAAGGCCAGCCCCACCCTTGCTGCCCGGCAGGACACCGTGTTCAAACTAAACGTGCGAAATGGAACTTCGAAGAGAACGCCCGATTCTGCGGCTTCGTTTTTGTAGAGACGACCCCACCTGCAACTGCGCGACTGTGACCGAACTGGACTCCAAGCCTTGATTCTGCAGCCCGGCTTTTGCCCCACAGTAGATCTCCGGGTCACGTTCGAGGCCTGAGGAACGGGCGCCGCGGGGGTCCATCTGCCGGCTGGGGCTATGCGTTTAAGTTGGGAACCGCGTGGACATGGGGATGTATCCACCCACGACTTTTAGGAGTTCACCATTAACATCCACTGCCACACTGCTTTGGCTTCATGGTCCGCCAGTTGATGGCGCACCAGGATCTTTTTCGCAGGTGTTGGACATGTAAAAACTGGCCGGCGACAAGGAATACACTCAAACACTGGCAGCAAGTGAAAGGCCCAGAACACAAAGCAGCCATCGTTCGAGTGGATGCAATCGGCTTCGCTCAGTCTAAAACCGCTGCGTTTTCCCTTCGGCAGAAACTAGAAACCATGACAAAAATGGGTGTCAGCGGAAGTTTCAAGCATCAAACATATGATCAAAGCAAACGCCAATGTAACTTCGGCTGGGGCTCGCCGCAAACCCTCAAACATTCATTAAGTTAGACACCAACTGAAACATTTGAGGATGGGAGTCCGCATCCCCATCATCCCCCCCCCCCCCTCGCAACCTCCACGCCTGGGTGGCCTGCGTGGCGTTGGTGGCCTCCGTCATCACCGTGGCCGAGGTCACCGTGGACCAGCGCGGCGCCATCTCCGAGGCTGGGGGCGTGTCGGTCTGGGACCAGCTGGACATCATCGACGCGGACTGCCTTTGCGTGCCGGGGTTCGGTTTGGGCTTTTTGGGGAAACCCGCAAAAAAACCCAAAAGAAACGGTTTAAGAATGGAAATCTGCGGTTGAAACCCGCAACCCTACGAGAGCAGAAAAGCACATTATTTGAATCTGGAAAAACCCTGAAACGAGAGAACGGAAGCACATGAAAGGGCTGGGGACGGGTGAGCCCTAAACTCTACAACCAGAGAACGGAGCACAGGAAAGGGCTGCTAGACCAGCCAGAGAGCCTCGCAACATCATGTCCTTTTCCGCCGTTATTGCAAAAGGCTCTCATTGGGGTTGAGCTTGGCTATGGGTCAAAGCCCGGTACCCCCAGTGAACATCCCAATCCCCACTAAAATAGGTTCTAAAATGGGTGGTCCCCAAAATGGGATCCCATTGGTTTTGACAACCACAGCCATTTCCCAATGCAGCCAACAGAACGCATCCAGCAGCCTCCTTACAATCAATTTGCCTCAAGTCCACCTGCAAATGCACTGTACTCCATCATGTCTAAAGCGGACCAGTTCGCAGAATGCAGGATTTGTGCCGCCTAAGGCTGGAATGGCAGTGTAGATGTTGGCATGTTGGTTGGACAATTCTGGCCGATGCTGAGATCGTCCGCAAAACATGTCTTGCGCATTGACAAGAAGTAAAAAGCGAGCACTGTGCATGTACACAACATGTAAATGGTCACACGACATTGCAAGCACGACTGGAAAGAACAGCTTTTTGTGCTCTTGCTGCTTAGGCTCAACAAACCACGTCGGGGAGACCACAAGAAATGCCGAGAAGAGCATGAACCGCGCCATGTGCGGGCGTTTGAAGAACGATCTTGCAAAATTCGATCCGGCCCATTGCTATCAACACCAGCTTGCATGCACAAAATGAGGCGAGATTGGAACAAATGCCTCTCAATCCTACATGATCTTCGATCCATGCACCACCAACACAACGCGCTGTGCAATGTAACTAGCAAACCTTGACGCTCCAGTGCGGGACGCTCTGAACTCAAGAAACTTAAATGCGGATGAGTTGAAAGGGGAACTAGGTCCTCCAGTAGAGAGGAGAGGTTAGAACAAGCGTCCCCTTTTTCCGTAGTCGATTTTAGTAGAGGAGCCCTCTTTCCAAAAGGGCACTACTGGGGGGACCTAGGCAACCAAAAGGACCCCAAGCGCCTGGAAGTGACCTCCCTCGACTTTCAGCCAGGGCGCGACCTCCCTCTGGGCGACTCCTCCGTGTCCCTGAGGTGCGAGGAGCGAGAGCCTTTTGGCCCAAACGGGCGACCACTCGAGACTCGCAGTGGATGGCACAAGTTTCCCTAGGCGTGTGGAACGGGAATGGGGGAAAAATGGAGAAACTGTGCCATTTACTTTCAGCCAACTGTAGTTCCTGTGCCATTTACTTTCAGCCAACTGTACTGTAGATAAATCCAAGGTACCGTAGATGTTGTCATCAAAGGCTCACTTGACACGGTACACATGATCACCCCTTTCAAACGTGCTGGTAGACTTGTCGCTGAGCTGACCCAGCTCGGCCAAACCAGCTTCTCGCGAGGCAAAAAAAGTCCACAAACCCACAAAACCTTCGTAGAGAAGAGTTGTACTTTGGGTCAAGATGCATACCGTTATTATTTTGGTTTCCCAATTCTCCTCTGGGGGGCTGGACTCAGTGGCCGAGGTCCTCCTGTAGAGAGGTTAGAATAAGTACCCCTTTTTTCAGGACGTCAACTTTAGTAGGGGAACCCTCCCCAAAGAAGTTGGGAGAGAAGGGCACTACTGGGGGACTCAGTAGCCCTCCCTCCCGCCTCCTCCCGGTCTCCGTTGCGGGCGTCTCTGTCTCCGTGCGCTCGCTGAGGGCATTGAGCTGGCGCAAGGTGCTCCGCAGCAGCTTCTGGTCGTTGCAGGGCACCGTGATCCTCCCGAACCCGTCACGGTGCCAGAGGCCACGGGCCGCGAGCCATTCCAAGGGAGCCTCTGGCTTCAACTCACATGGTCATACACGGCCGTACAGCATGCGTGGATTTTTAACCATCAACACGGCCAAAACACATGCAACTCGGCTAGCCTTGTTCAAACTGCCCGACATCGCCCAGGTCCGTGCTCATTCCAGCCCATTGGCCAAGCACTTGACGTATCTCAGACAGAAAGGTTCTCTGCCCCTCCCAAACGACCTCTCCCTTGGCAACTACACACCCTGCACAGCTCCAACACTCTTGCCCTGGCACTTACTTGCAATTTCCACTTGCCTTGGAAATGCCCGATGATCAGAAAGTAGTTGGCAATGCCCAAGGATAGGCTTGTCGAATCTTCGGGGGACAACTCCTCCACTACTCCTCATCAGTGTCTCCAAACCTCTTTGAGCAACCCATCATGAACCTTATGGATGCAGCTTGCATGGTGAGTAATCTCTTCCCCAGAGGGTCCAAGTACGTTTAGCTCAAGGGGATTCATCAATGAACTCCGCAAATACCGAGGTCCTTGGGCCCGAGTTCCCGTGCACTGCCGGCTTCGCAGGGCACCACTTTGGGTCCTGAGGCGTCCTCGTAGATCGCCGCCCCTCCGCAGTTGCACTGGTAGCTGCAACCCGTAGCTCGAAAGGTCCGCCTCAGTGCGAAAACGGCGCTTTGAGCGAGGGGCAAGCCACTGGGCAAACGGGGAGAGAAGCAAAACATGCGCGCCTGGAAGCAAAGGCCGCTTGCTGGTCTCGCTGGTCTTGTTGCGAGTATTAGCTTTCCACTGTTTACGGACTTTGAGCTGACGTTCAGTAGAGCAACATCCAATTCGAGTGAATCTAGCGTCAAACGCCCTACGTTCAGAGCTGACCCGCGGCCTTCAAGCCAGGCTTTCTTGATCGCGACAATGTGAAAAAAAACAATCGCAAATGGCAATACAGCGCATGATTGTTCATAAAACAGCCGAATGCAACCGCACTGATGCAACGGAGCCAGCGTTACTCCCTGCGCGCTCGTGCTTTTTGCCTTCTGCTGCGGCGTGCCTTCGTGAAAGGAAAACCGAACTGAGCGCCTTTGCCGGCTCATCGATACTTGGCCAGCTCCTGCACGAGGGGCACTCAAATCTCCCAGTGCCAACTAAAATCATAGCATGTTGGAACATGACGAACAAGAAAACAACCAAAAACTGCTCGGCATGCTGCATACTCGACGAGTGCACGGATCTGCTAAATGTGGGATTTTGAGTCCCATGATGTCTTCCGATGTCTGAAATGCTGGTGCATGATACAAGAGCGTCAGGGTCCAACCGGTCCAACTCAAGCCACTTAAAAGCTGAACGCGGTGTTCTTGCTTCTGGGTTCGCAAATCGAGAGTGACGGTCCTTTTCCACGCCAGCTGCAAAGTCGTCGTCCTTCTTCGCCAGACCCTCTCCAAGATTCAGGCGCACGAAGCGGCGGATCACAATGTTCTCTCCGATCTTCGCGATCTTCTCCTCGTGTTGGGTTGAAGGCCCTTGATGATGATGTGATGGTTCAAGTTACCGAGCTCTTCGTTTGCTCACTTGCAGGGAGGCAAGTTCACCGTCAAGGTTCACTCTGTTGCTTCGAACACAAACAACAACATCACATCAGCAAGCGTGGCGGAACTTGTTGCAATCTGATCGGAATGATTCATCGTGCTGGAAGCAACAATCAAGAACCAACTTCCGAGAGCTTTGATCCAAACCCGACACGCCCTCCTTGAGCACCTCCTGCACTGTCTTGTCCTGGCAAAGCCAGAGAACAAAAGCAGAGATCAGCGTGGCAAGCCAACAAGCAAACAGAGCGAGAAGAGCCGGGTATGTGTTCAATAAGAATTCCAGGATGATATAGGGGACCCACAAATAGTAGCTTCCCCCGCTTTTTTCCCCACCGACCGAAAATAGGGTCCCCTCCAAAACACCAACACGCCGCGGCGCGCATTTTTCAAACCCTGTGGGCCCAAGCGTCCTCATCCTTGAGCCATGTCTGGCTCAGCAAGGCGAAGGCTTCCTGCTTCTTCCTGAGGCGACCAGCGACAATCTTCTCCTTGATGTTCTCCGGCTTCCCCTCCAAATCCTCCTCGCCAAAACGACGGAATGGGTCATGCATGTTAGTGCAAGTGCTTGGGGTCCTATATTCCAATGAAGAACTGACTGAATGTGTTTGCACAAATGCAACCAGCGCCAAAGTCAAAAACTCCAATGATGTTGCCTAGAAAGCTGTGCTTTTGGTGCAAGCCCCCTTTGCGATTGGCTTTCGACAAACTCTCCTTGGCCATCTCAGATTCTTTCTCCTTGGCCATAAACGCCTCAGGAATGTCATCCACTGAGACGAAGGCAACCTCCGGTGAGGCAGCAATCTGCATGGCAACGTCGTTGGCAAACTCCTGGCCGGCGGGAAAATTGTGCAATGGGCGGGCAGGTTGCTAATGTTCTTGAATGTTGTCTTTTGTGTTTGTCCATCTAGCCGTGTCGAATGCGAATCGCAGGCAATCCAGCATTGCCTTCATTCACGGCACGGGTGAACTTGATTCGAGCATCAAGATGACAGAAAACATCATGCACAGTCCCTCAAAGCATCACACACACACAAACACATGCTGGGCCAAAAGGACGTTCGATTCCACATTGTCATATGGTTTCTTTCGAGCCATATGTGGACGTTTTCTGAACTGGTGACACTAACCTGGTAAGCTTCCCAGTGGTTTAACTTCAACCACCATCCAAAAGGGTTTAGCCAATTTTACAACACCCGCCCACAACGTGCACAAGGCACACTACTTCCATTAAAACCTTTCGGTGCGATAATCTTCTCAAAAACACATGGCTGTGTCAGAAGCTGTTTGACAGCAACTTGACCTTTTCGGGGTTCTGTTCAAGTCCCGAATCCCACCTGCCGAACTAGAAAGTCCTTGAAGATGTCGTTCAGGGCCACAAAGTCCGTCTCGGAATTCACCTCCACAAGCACGCCCAGCTTGCTGTTGAAGTGCACCTCGGCTCGGATCGTCGCGCGTCGCTCTTTTGCAGCAAAGCGGGGGAACCCGAGATCTGCCCCTCAACCGTCAACCTCTGGAAGCCAACTCACTTGTATCAGCCCAGATGTTCTCGACTCAAAGCTGCCGAGAAAGGGGGAGATGTACTGAAGTACAGGGCACGCTGGCAAACCAACCAACAAAAGCAACACGCAAAATGGTCTCCAGAAAACTCTGGTGAATCAGGGAGACAATGGAATCAAATTAGTTTGCTGCCCCAGCCAACAAATGCTGCAAATTGATATCAAACTATGACATTCCCAGACCCTTGTTGCAGTTCTTGACCCCTTCTTCTATTGTACATATATATATATATATATATTATGTGTATATAAATATATACTCAACATGACTCAACTTTCATTCACACTGCGAAACCATATAGCTGCCAAACATTTCGATGTGCATTGCACTTTCAATTGGCAAAGTCTTTGTGGAAGGCTACAAAGTGATTTGTGGTTGGCCGCGGAAGGGCAGTGCTGATTCGGACAAGGAACGAAGTGGAAAGCCCCGGAAACAACCGGGAGCCCAACTACTCATCAATGGAAACAGCCCTGAATCATTCTAACGTAGCAAAATAGATCCTACCTTCCTCGGCTCCAGGCCAACTCTTTAGTGGTAGGATGTTGGAACTGTTGGACCAAACCTGCCAAAAGTCTGGGCCAATTGTCATAGCTTTCAAATCAAAGCGGGAGCCTCATAAGGAACCTTCGCGGGTGAGGTCGCAAACCCCTGCCAGAACGTACTTGGATTCAAAATGCAAGCATCCCTAGGTTCTCGTCCGCAATCCTTGGGACAAGGGAAATCACGAAGCCCATCTGGCAAGAACGCACGGATTGATTTTCAACAACCCAGTCGTATTGTCAAAGGCACGTAGGAGGCGATGACGCCCTCCACCGACACATTTCCAGCCTTCTTGTCCGCCTTGGCCATGCCCTTCTTCTTGAGCCACCTGGGGAACATGTGATCATGCCTCCCTTTACACAACCAAAAAAGGGAAGAGGGTACACGTATATATATATATATATGGTACCCTCAAGGGACCTACCTTTTTGAATAATTCACTGGTATGTGCAGTGTGTCTATCCTTTTTTGGGTTTTGGGGAAAGCAATGACGAAAACACGTCCAAGGACATTCGGGAAGCTTCAGGATTGATTTAAACCGATTTAAATTTAAATCGGGCCTGGACTCAAGATTCAAAAATCCAAGGCAAACTTTTCCAGGCAATCTTGAATCCAGGCCTCGACTTAAAACGATTTAAGCCGATTTAAACTTAAATCGGGCCTGGATTCAAGATTCAAGATTCCTGAAAAAGCTTGGCCTGGACTCTTGAATCTTGAGTCTTGAATCCATGCCCGATCTAAGTTTAAGTCGGCTTAAGTCGGTTCATATCGAGGCCTGGATTCAAGATTCCGTGGAAACGTTTGGAATGGACTCTTGAATCTCGAATGCAGGCCCGAACAAGATTCAATTTCGGTTTAAGTCGGTTTAAGTCGAGACCCAAACTCAACGTTGCACTCTGCGCGGCTGTGCATTGGCTCAAATTTGTGCAAGCATCCAAGTCGTGAGTATTCATTCAATCTGTTCCAATCTGTTTCAATCTAGGACCATATTCTAGGGGCTTGACTGAAATGTTGGTCGGTTTCAATCGGTTTCACTCGGGCCTGGACTCGGGTTTGCAGAGAAGATTTGTCTAGAAAATACTTAAGCTTGAATCTTGAGTACAGGCTTGGATTCTGTCCTTATCAAATTCTGCTGCAGCGCTAAAGAGTTGCAAGAATATATTTGGAAAGGAATGCTATTTAAATTCTAAATGTCAGATACAATTCCCAGTAGGATATTGAACAAGTATTTCCGTATTGAGTCCCAGTTAAATCCTGTTCAAAACTAACCGAGCATTTGGAGAGCGGTCGTTGGTGGAGATGTGAATCGAGTATGAAAACGCTACATAATACTGTTTTTACAGTATTTTCTGACCCCTCTGATTCGACCCAAATTCTAATGGACATTAAATAGAGTTTAAGAAGGACATACTCCAGTCAGAAGTTCGATTTAAATTGGAACATAAATATTGACTGTGTTATGTCAAATTGAATGGTACACAAGATGTCCTTTCCAATAGAACATTATACTTAGAAAGTCAACCACTATAAGAGCTAGAGTCAATTGGTGGAGTCCTAGTTGGGAGATCGTTGGTTCTAGGCCTAGTATGGTCCTAGCATATTGAAATAAATTTAAACAAAAAAAAAAAAGGACATTACAAAGGAAGCTCCTTATGATCTCTGCTAAATATGTGTATCAAGCTCTATGTAACTGCTAACTGAACGGCAGAACTTAAAATAAGGAACACATCTAGCTATTTGTGCATCTTAAATTGGTACTATTCAGTTTCAATCCAAATGTTACACAGGAAGCTCTTTCCAAACAATGTAATGCTTGACATCCACATACTATAAGAAGTAGAGTTGACTAGGCCAGTCCCAGTTTGGGCCTAGTTGAGAGATCCTTGGTTATGGTGTTAGGTTGCTCCTAGTTTACTGAAACAAATAGAAAGTATAAAGGACGTCACAGAGGAAGTTCTACTTGAAAATACATTATTATAATAATAGTCTTAGTTGAGAGATCCTTGGTTCTAGTCTTATTTGGTCCTAGTCTTATTTGGTCCTAGTCCTAGTTGAGAGATCTTTCCTTCCAGTCCTCGATGGGCAAATAAAGCACTGGACAGGCAACAAAAAGGTAGGTCCTTGGGCGGGGGGGGGGGGTAGCATATATATATATATATACACACATGTGAAACAAAAAACAACATCTTTGCAGCTCCATGGTCCATGACTTGCCGGGCGGCTCCATGGCTTTGTCTGCGTCACCCTCGCACTCGATGAGCGCCTTCTTGGCATCCAAGATGCCAGCGCCGGAACGGGCGCGCAGATCTCGGACGTCGCCCGCCGACACCTTCACCTCCTTCTTCTCCGCCTTCTCCTCCTGTGGCATTTGCGGAGGAAACCCCAAGGCTCCAGGAACCTTTTCCTCCTGTGACATTTGAGTCACTTACTCAAAATCCGGTACAAGAATGGTCGACCCAGAACCATGTGAAGAACTCAGCAGGCCGCAGCTATTTATCGCTGGGATCGTCCCTTACGAACCTTGACTTACCCGGGTTCTGATTGTAGCTCATTTGGGGAGGAATCCCAAGGCCCCCACCCCCAAGAACCTTCTAGGTTTCTGAGACCCTTTCTTAGCGGTATCGAGGCCCTAGCGGTAGGGGGGCTGCTGCTGCTAAACTATACAAGAGTGACATGCACACGCTCACTCACCTCCTGAATTCAAGTGCAAGAAGCATACCCCAAAACCAGCTTTGCCAAATGGATCTGACAAACCAGCATGTGATGTTGCTCGCCAAGGTACAGCATGAAGATGTGGATTTCATGCTTTCAGAACCAGCCAAGGATCTGTCATTGGCAAGCCAGAAGTTCGTCCCTTCAGAGCAATGCAAGCCTACCAACCACAAAGGTTGGAGGTTGTTCTGAGTTCCAAAGCAAATGCCCAGCTTCTCCTCTTTCTTCTCTTCCTTCTTCTCTTCCTTCTTGGGCTCCTCAGCCTTTGCCTCGCCTTCAGTCTTGTACTTGGCCAACTCCTTCTCGACGCCCGCCGCAAAGTCGTCGTCCTATGGCGGGCACTCGACCCTTCCTCAACCTGAGATAGGCGAACCCCGTCAAAACCGAATCCTTCTCAACCACGGCAAGAAGTTCCGAGAGAAGCCAGGTGATGAAAATACTACTACCACTACCACTGCCACTTCCACTACCACTACCACTACCCCTACCACTACCACTACCACTACCACTACCACTACTACTACTACTACTACGTCTTCTTCTTCTTCTACTACTTACTTACTTACTTACTTACTTACTTACTTACTTACTTACTTACTTACTTACTTACTTACTTACTTACTTACTTACTTACTTACTTACTTACTTACTACTTACTACTTACTACTTACTACTACCTACTACCTACTACCTACTACCTACTACCTACTACCTACTACCTACTACCTACTACCTACTACCTACTACCTACTACCTACTACCTACTACCTACTACCTACTACCTACTACCTACTACTACTACTACTACTACCTACTACCTACTACCTACTACCTACTACCTACTACCTACTACCTACTACCTACTACCTACTACCTACTACCTACTACCTACTACTACTACTACCTACTACTACTACTACTACTACTACTACTACTTCTACTACTACTACTACTACTACTACTACTGCTACTACTACTACTACTACTACTACTACTACTACTACTACTACTACTACTACTACTACTACTACTACTACTACTACTACTACTACTACTACTACTACTACTACTACTACTACTACTACTACTACTACTTACTACTTACTACTTACTACTTACTACTACTACTACTACTACTACTACTACTACTACTACTACTACTACTACTACTACTAGTACTACTACTACTACTACTACTTACTACTACTACTACTTACTACTACTACTACTACTACTACTACTACTACTACTACTTACTACTTACTACTTACTACTTACTACTTACTAGGTAGTACTACTTACTACTTACTACTTACTACTTTAGTTAGGGTAGTACTACTTACTACTTACTACTTACTACTTACTTACTACTTACTACTTACTACTTACTACTTACTACTTACTACTTACTACTTACTAGTAGGGTAGATAGGTACGTAGGCTACTACGGTAAGTAGGTAGTAGGTTAGTAGGTAGTACTACCTACTACCTACTACCTACTACCTACTACCTACTACCTACTACCTACTACCTACTACCTACTACCTACTACCTACTACCTACTACCTACTACCTACTACCTACTACTACTACTACCTACTACCTACTACCTACTACCTACTACCTACTACCTACTACCTACTACCTACTAAGTCAAGGACATCTGTTAGTAGTCAAGCTAGTAAGTAGTAAGAAGGTCAATGAATAGTAATGTAGTAACGTAGTCAACGTAGTAAGTAGTAAGTACGTAAGATAAGTAAGCTGTACGTCGTCAAGCATAGAAAGTAGTAAAGTAGTAAAGTAGTAAGTAGTAAGTCGTAAGTAAAGTAACGTAGTTAAGAGTAGTAAGTAGTACAGCTAGTAAGTTAGTAGGTGGTTACAGTTACAGTAAGTAGTAAGTAGTAAGCCTAGTGAAGTAGCTGTAAGATCAGTAGTGCATAGTCATAGTGAGTACGTCGTAAGTAAGTCAAGCATCAGTCAAGTAAGTAAGCATCGTAAGCTACCCGCTAAGTAAGTAAGTAGTAAGTAGAACGTAGTAAGTAGTAAGTTAGTCAAGTTCACAAGCCGTAGTAGTAAGTAGTAGTAAGTAGTCAGGTAGTAGGAGCTAGTAGTAGACTAGTAGGCTACGTCAGTAAGTAGCCGAAGCAAAGTAGTAGGTACGTAGTAGTACGTAGAAGTACGTAGTACGTAAGTAGGTAGTGTCGTAGTAGTACGGTAGGTAGTAGCCTACGTGGTACGCATAGTAGCCTAGTAGCAGGTAGGTAGCTAGTAGTAGTGTGGTGTAGGTGTTAGGTAGTAGGTAGTAAGGTAGTAGATAGTAGGTAGGTAGTAGAGTATTCGGTAAGTAGGTAGTAGGCTTGTAGGTAGTAGGCTAGTGGTCAGTAGGTAAGTAGGCTAGTAGGCTAGCTAGGTAGTAGTAGTAGTCAGTTGTCACGTAGTAGCCTCACAGTCACGTAGTAAGTAGTCAAGGTACGTAAGCTAGTCAAAGTTCGGTACGTAGTCCCGTACGTCAGAAGTACAGCTACGTGTAGTAACGAGAAGTCGTCGTATCGGTAGTAGTCAGTACCCTTATATACGGTTGCCCGTAGAGATCACAGACGACTAATCCTTATACTAACTAATTCCCTATCACTACTACTACTACTACTACTACTACTACTACTACTACTAATCCTACTACTACTACTACTACTACTACTACTACTACTACTGTTACTGTTACTGTTACTGTTACTGTTACTGTTACTGCTACTGCTACTGCTACTGCTACTGCTACTGCTACTGCTACTCTACTATCAAGAACTAACACAAACATAAACGATCATACTAACATAGTAATTAGTAATGATGATGATACATTCAAGCACTCCTGCCTACCCTCACAGAAACCAAGGCTGTTTCTTTGCCCCTTGTGCGCTCCTTCTTCTCCAGGCCCTCGCCCAGCGTCAATCGCTCGAACCTCCTCACCACGATGTTCTCGCCGAGCTTCGCGATGATTTGCTTCACCGCCTCCTGGACTGAGATGTCCTGGCCGTCTGCTTGTCTCATGTGGCTTTTGGGTGTCTGATGCTTTGCTTCTTGTGTAGGTCTCGCTTGCCGTTGGCGAAAACAACAGCTACCAAGCAACCCAAACCAGAGGGCCCACGCAGAGAAACATGCTCGTTTATGTGGACGGTACTGCCAAAAACAACTGGGAGCTAGATACATTTGCCAGGGTGTTGACCATGCTTGGAACAAGCCTCTTGAACCATCCTGCCTCATCCTTCAGCCAGGTCTGATTCATCAAGGCCTTGCTCTCAAACTTCTTACTCAGGCGGCCAGCCACGATCTTCTCCTTGATATTGTCCGGCTTCCCAGCCAAGTCTTCCTGCAAAATGGGGTCCAAAGCAGGCAAGCGAATTTGGCCTGAATGGTGGATTGTCCTGGAGGTACCCAAACTTAGCTTATGCCGTGAAGAACATCTGAGCTGTAAGCCGAGTAAACGACAAAAAACAAGTTGGAACTGCGTCCTTGGCCATCTCTGTCTCCTTCTCCTTTTGCTTGACATCCTCAGGCACGTCATCTGTAGTAAGGCATACCACTTCATCATTGGCGGCTACCTGCATGGCCACGTCGGAAGCAAACTGCTTGAAGATCTCGTTGTTGGCCTGAGTCGAGAAAACAAACTCGGCGCCCAGCCCTCGGTCGATTCCCGAAAAGAAATAAAGCACGCAGGTTCAAACTTGCCAAGTCAATTCCCAATCGGCGACAAAGTCCGTCTCACTGTTCACCTCCACCAAGACCGCAATCTTGTTGTTGAAGTGCACATAGGATGCCACGCAGCCCTCAACTGCAACGTTGCCGGCTTTCTTGTCAGCCTTGGCCATACCCTTCTTCTTGAGCCATTCCATTGCCGCATCCATATCGCCATCGGTCTCCTTGAGAGCCTTCTGGCAATCTAAAATGCCTGCTTTCGAGCGCTCTCTAAGCGTCTTAACATCCTTTGCACTGACAGTCTTTGATGCGGCTGGCTTTTCTTCTGCCTTTGGCTCCGGCTTCTTCTCCTCTGCCTTTGGCTCTGGTGCCTTCTCCTTCTTGGGCTCAGGCTCCGGCTTCTTCTCCTCTGCCTTTGGCTCTGGTGCCTTCTCCTTCTTGGGCTCAGGCTCCGGCTTCTTCTCCTCTGCCTTTGGCTCTGGTGCCTTCTCCTTCTTGGGCTCAGGCTCCGGCTTCTTCTCCTCTGCCTTTGGCTCTGGTGCCTTCTCCTTCTTGGGCTCAGGCTCCGGCTTCTTCTCCTCTGCCTTTGGCTCTGGTGCCTTCTCCTTCTTGGGCTCAGGCTCCGGCTTCTTCTCCTCTGCCTTTGGCTCTGGTGCCTTCTCCTTCTTGGGCTCAGGCTGGCTTCTTCTCCTCTGCCTTTGGCTCTGGTGCCTTCTCCTTCTTGGGCTCAGGCTCCGGCTTCTTCTCCTCGGCCTTTGGCTCTGGCTTCTTCTCCTCTGCCTTCGGCTCTGGTGCCTTCTCCTTCTTGGGCTCCGGCTTCTTCTCCTCTGCCTTTGGCTCTGGCTTCTTCTCCTCGGCCTTTGGCTCTGGTGCCTTCTCCTTCTTGGGCTCCGGCTTCTTCTCCTTCTTGGGCTCAGGCTCCGGCTTCTTCTCCTCTGCCTTCGGCTCTGGCTTCTTCTCCTTCTTGGGCGCAGGCTTCTTCTCCTCTGCTTTTGGCGCCTCTGCTTTGGGTGGCTTGTCTGCCGGTTTTGGCTCCTGATCCGGCGATGAACCCTTGGGTGACGATGGGCCCTTGGGCGAAGATGGTGCTGGCGGCGGAGTCTTGGGTTCTTCACCAGGAGGTGTCCAGTTTTTGAAGAACCTCTGGTTGCCCTTGATGCCCATGTACTCCTTGTACTTTGCCCGCATCGACTCATTTTGCTCGTCCCAGTACTGGTACATCACCTCCTTCACGTAGTCCGGAGCGTAGTAGATGGGATTCTCTAGCAGGTTGTCTGTGTCCCAAGGGTGCTCTGGCTCCGGCTGGCCCCTCTGTATCACCTTCTCTGGGTCGAAGGTGCCATTCTTAATCCTTAGCTGACTAGCTCAAAACCGGCCCCCGGGTTGAAACACGGAAAAAACAACCTTCCGCAAACCTTCCGCGGCTGCAGTGCGGCGCTATCTTTTTGTTGATATGTCAACATCTGTACATGTGTTGCTTGAGCTGGGTAGCAAAAAAAAACACATGCGCCGAACCCCAAATCGCGCCGAGCGGCTTCTGGATCCGGCGCGCCTTGTTCTTGCGGAGCCGATACTTGCCGAAGGTGTGGGCGTGCAACTTGCCCCTTGCGCAGAGGTTAGCTAGGAACAAGGAGTCCGACAAAGGGAAGGTGTGAATTTGGCTTCTATCACCCAAGAGAAACCCAGCGTTTGTGAACATGTCCATCGGTTTTGTTGCAAAATAGGGTGTCCCCTCAAAATTGTGGCTTCCTTGTAGTTTCTCTTTCACCAACCCCTAAAAGGGTGCCCTTACAGAAACAGCAACCACACCTTTAAGGCGGCGTCAGTTGGCAGGAGTCACCCGTTCATTGATGATTGGAACATGCGAACATGCAGAACTCATCGCAAGTTGCTCCAAAGGCACGCGGTTGGCGAGACAACAAACAACCAGGAGCAGGGATGGCGACTTTCCTGGTCAAACCATCTTAGAAGAGGTAGCGAGCCCCAAACGCATCGGATGCGGGCTGTCAAGGATCAAGGATTCGCCCAAAGGACTGTCTTTCTCCAGTGCTTTCTCAACTTTGAATGTGTGCTGGTTGGCTGCGCGAAAGCCGGGTTGCATTCTGCGGGGCTTTGATTGGTCTTCGCCAGGCCCTACTTTTGCAGTTTGGTTTCAAGTCTACATTGACATGCCTAGATGTTCTCGGGATTGCTCCTTAAGTGCTGGTTGGCCTGGAATGAATTCCCAGCATGTTCAAGCCTATCGTTGACTCCGTTTGCTTGCCTGCTTGCTGGCGGGAATAAACAAGCACCATGTCTTTCAACATCTTGGGATGGAACGATTTGCATCTTTAAGTTTCCCAGATTGAAGTTTCCATTGCCTCCACTGCTGGTGTGCGATCGCTCTTGGGGCTGTTGGAATTAAACACATCTCCGACATCCAGGCATGGACTGTCAACAGAAAGGCTCTACGTCCTCAGAAAATCTATGAGTGTCAACCACTCAACATCATCAACTTGTCTCAGCCAGGGAGGGGGCCTCTGTAACCGTGCTCCTCTCACCAATCTTGCAAGCTCGAAAAGGGTCGCATGGAGGTCCAACCCCAATGGAGATCCTGACCTCTCGAAAGGAGGGTGCAAGGGTGCATAGGTTCGCAATTGCGATGCCATTCCAAGCCTGCTCTTGTTGCAAGAACATCCTCTGGTTGCATCCACAACAAAGTGCCAACAGAAAAAGTGGGGTTGCCATAATTATTTCCTTGAGCTGTTTGAAGGACTAGGAATGACAACCACGGATGGCAACAAAATCATAAACATATTGCCTCTCAGTGATTGCGCAAGTCGAAATCGATCGAGTTTGCACCCCTCAATCTATATATATATATATACACACACATTGCTTTGCTTTTCAAGTCAGCTTTTCGACAAGTCCTGCCTAAAGGTTTTCTTGTCATGCCCGCCATACATTGTAGTGCATGTCTCATCACGAGCCTTGGTATGCGGACTCACAGAACAGGGATCCTTACATTATACACCTGAACATTGCCTTGTAAATGGCGATTTCCCTTTATTTGGATGGAAAAAGCAACATGGTTCAAATGGGCAAACTTATCTTTTAAGGAGCCCTGCAGAAACAAGGAAGAACACGACACACTGACAGCTAAAGGCACAAACACAGACACCAGAAACACATGCGGCAATCGCTAACGCAGGTCCCAATCCCCCTATGCGCAAACTCCCCTTGAATCAAGAGGCTCGGGGTTGCAAACGCTTCACGTGCACTGTAGCTGAATAAGAGAAACCACAACGGGACCCAAATCTGTTATAAAAAAAGGATCCTGCGGATGGCCAACAGGTCAGCCCAAGTGTTTTGAGGACGGTCCAAACTTCCCAGAACAAACCAACCTTCCAACCAACCAGCCAAACAAAGAAACAAACAAGCACAAACACAAACACAAACACAAACAAGCTAATAAGCAAGCAAGCAAACAAGCAAGCGAACAAACAAACATCAAACCCACACAGTAAAACACTGGCAATCACACACACAACCATCAATCAACCCACCAACCAACCAACCAACCAACCGACCGACCAACCACGCAGCCAGCCAGCCAGCCAGCCAGCCAGCCAGCCAACAAACCAGCAAACAACTGAACGAAGCAATCAGACCAAACCATAAACGTAACAAAATAATAAAGGATAGAAGGAAGGAAATAGATCAAAAAGAAAGACAAATACAGAACTAGTGAATGAAATACACATAGAACAAAAGAGACAAATAAAGCTAGATAGATAGATAGATAGATAGATAGATAGATTAGATATATATGTAGAGAGATAGATAGACGTAGATGGATATATAGATAGATTAGATAGTTAGATAGATAGATAGATAGAAATAAATCAAATAAAGAAAGAGAGAAGGATAGAAAGAAGGAAAGAAAGAAAGAAGGAAAGAAAGAAAGACAGAAAGGAACAAAAAGAAGAAGAAAAAGAAGAAGAAAAAGAGAAATAAATAAAGAAAGAAATACAAACATAAATATAGAAAGACAAACAGAAAGAAAGAAAGAAAGAAAGAAAGAAAGAAAGAAAGAAAGAAAGAAAGAACAAATACAGACAAACATAAATAAAGAAAGACACACAGAAAGAAAGAAAGAAAGAAAGAAAGAAAGAAAGAAAGAAAGAAAGAAAGAAAGAAAGAAAGAAAGAAAGAAAGAAAGAAAGAAAGAAAGAAAGAAAGAAAGAAAGACATAAATAAATAAAGACAGAAACAAATAAAGTGAAAGAAATAAATACAGAACTAACGAAATAAATATACATATATATATATATATATATATATATGGTCACCCCCCCCCATGATCCACATTTTGCCTCTTGCAAGCAAAAAACACTGGAAAAACACATGTAAAATGCTTGTTTTTGACCACCTGTTCCAGGATCAGATTCTGATCCTGGAAACTTGGGTCAAAAACAAGCATCATTCTTGATGAGTAGATTAGTCAAAGATTGCGACATTCTTGATGGACAGATGTTAGGCAACTTGAAGCAGATGCTTACAGATGGTTTGTGTGGACAGCCTTCTGGAAAAAAGTTAGCAGGGAGCAGATGGAACTTATGGAAGCAGCATGCAGAAAGTGCTGTACTGTCCCTAAAATCCAGGCTTTGGAGGCTGAAAGTGCTGTACTGTCCCTAAAAAACCTAAAAAACCATTCCAAAAACAGTCTTGGGCACACAAACCTCCTTCTGGCAAGGAATTTTTGGTTTTTTAGGGACAGTACAGCAAGCAAAAAATCATTGCCAGAAGGAGGTTTGTGTGCTCAAGACTGTTTTTGGAATGTTTTTAGGTTTTTTTAGGGACAGTACAGCACTTTCAGCCTCCAAAGCCTGGATTTTAGGGACAGTACAGCACTTTCTGCATGCTGATGCTCAAAAGTGCTGTACTGTCCCAAGACTGTTTTTGGAATGTTTTTTTAGGTTTTTTAGGGACAGTACAGCACTTTCAGCCTCCAAAGCCTGGATTTTAGGGACAGTACAGCACTTTCTGCATGCTGATGCTCAAAAGTGCTGTACTGTCCCCAAAAAACCAAAAAAGTGCTGTACTGTCCCTAAAAAACCAAAAATTCCTTGCCAGAAGGAGGTTTGTGTGCTCAAGACTGTTTCTGGAATGGTTTTTTAGGTTTTTTTAGGGACAGTACAGCACTTTCTGCCTCCAAGGCCTGGATTTTAGGGACAGTACAGCACTTTTAAGCATGCAGAAAGTGCTGTACTGTTTTTAAAAATTGTGGATGTGGGAAGGCAGTAGCAGATGTTTGTCACTCCGACGAGCTGGCTTGCATTTTTCTTGCCTTTTTCCTTCGAGCGCATATCCGGTAATCACTGCTTGTGCAGTGCCTGCAGCATCTGGCCGGTCACCTCCCACATATTAGCGCGGCGATGCCAGTATTCAAACTGTGCGGATCTCAGCTTTCGCAAGAGAACCTGACTGCCGGGGATTCTATTCGTGTGTTTCAGGTGAGATCGAAGGGTGTTCCAGAACCGGTCGATGATCTGGGTGCCGCTCTTCACACGCACCTTCTTCCCGTCCGGCAGCTTGACGTCGTACTGCTTGGTGTAGTGGGGCTTCACCCAAACGGCCTGACAGACAGGAATAACAGAATCAAGTAGATCCCTTAAGAGGCAGTTAAAGCAGTTTAGGTCAGAGTTACTTGCCTTGCCGTTGATGACGATGCGCTTCTTCTTGCGCACGACGTTGCAGTGCCTCACGTCCGGCAACCTGAGCTTGTAGGCTCTGGCCCCAGCGCTGTGGAGGATGACTTTCCGGCCCGCGATGTGCTTTTTCGCAATCGGCTGCCAGTCCCTCTTCCTGATGGGACCTGGCCCCGGAGATCTCTTTTTGGTGAGGATGGGGTTGAGCCTGAAGAGCACCAGCGAGGATGGCCTTCCTCGCTCCACGAGTCCACCCCACTGTTCCCATTTCGTGTTGAGGTTTCCCGCCACGCTCTCGTCGGTCAACTTGCAAATGTCGACCTCGTCCACCTCCACGTCCTCCCACTTCCCGCCGAAGACAATGTCCTTCTCCTTCTGGGTGACGTACTGCGAGCGAGCGACCTCCAGGTTGTGGTAGATGCGCTCCACTGGCTTGTGGTCCATATCCAGGAGCAGGTGCGCCGCATTGCTCGAGACCCCCACCACCGCGCAGAAGAGGACCGCCACCTGCTTCTGAAGTGGAGTTGAAGAATTGCCAGCAGACATGAAGAAGATGGGATGGTAGTCATGAGGCTGAAGTTGCTTGTGGCAGGCACGCTTCTTGCACCGGTACGCCCAAATCTTCTTGTCATGGTAATACTTCAGGGGCCCCATTACGCCGTTGCCACATCGAAGGCCAGTTCTGCCTTCCCAGTCTGTGAGGATCTTGTCCTTGTGGAGCTGCTTGTGGAGACGCTGTCCAGTCAAAGATTCCCAAGTCAAAATCGAACGCCCCCAGCACGCTCTGTGGCCTTTGTTCTTGGTAGTGGGCATGCCATGGCGGACATATGGCACCGGAGCAGGATTCTTTGAGGCAGGCCTTCGCTGCACGCGCCACTTCCCCCGCTTAGGATCTGGGAACTTGGCCTTCACGGACTTCATGACCTTCTTTGGCATGATGGGCAAGATCAACTACAAAGGATCAAGGCGATTGAAGCAGATGGCTGCGTAAACGATCAATGCGATTCGCCTCCAAGCAACACGTGCAAGCAAGATGGCACCGGAGACCTAATGTTTTTTTAGCCAAGGTCCATGTCCATGGCATCCGCAAGTTCTTGGGAAAGGGTTCGGCCTCGATGTCATACTGGTCGGGAATCTCGTCCATAGGGTCCACCACATCAGGAGAAGAAGCCGGCAAAGGCACAATCCACCACATCGGCTGCTGGAGGAGCTGTAGGGTCAGAAAGCTTCTCCACAGGGTCCACCGCATCAGCTGCAGCCGGTGCAGCAGAGGCTGGGTCACTTGCATCCTCAGACGTGTCTGACAGGTTGATCACCAGAGGGCGCAGGTTCAATGGCTTGGAAAAGTAGGAGGGATCCACTGGCTCTTGCTTGATGTGCACCTTATGCGTCTCCTCTGGTTCTTCTTTGATACCCTGCACGTCCTCATCCTTCTCTTCTTCTTTTGTTTTCTGCTCATCCTCGTCCTTCGGCTCGTCTTTGGCATCCTGCGCATCTTCGTTCTCCTTCTGTTCTTCTTTTGTTTTCTGCTCATCCTCGTCCTTCGGCTCGTCTTTGGCATCCTGCGCATTCTCGTTCTTGATCTCCTTGAGCAAGTTGGAAGAGGACTTCACAAATCGAAGCTTCTTAGTGGGCGGCTCGTCGACGGCAGCGCCAGCATCCAGGTAGTACTTGGTCTTGCCCTCAATGCCCGCGAGTGTTGGTCGATCTTCAATGACGTACTCCCTTCCTGAGAACAGTTCTTTCCCACGGGTGGTCGCACAATAGCGGACCTCCTCGCCATCCAGCGCAGCCTGCAGCAAGTTCAAACTCCACTGCATGTCTTTGTCATGATCTGCCGGCAAGTGAGAGAGGTTACCGCGCTTGTAGGCAGCCAAAAGGGGTCGGGCAGATGGAGAGATCATGCCAATATCCCGCTCTGGCCAGGCATACCGGGGAACGGGTTTGCGGTCTGTGCCTGGCACACGTACGTACATGCCCACATCGGTGAAGACGATGAAGGTGGATCGCTTGAAGACACCGACAAGGTCCTCTTCATCGAAGTCCCTGTGGAAGGAGGGGCGCACGATCTTGTAGAACTGCTCGAAGGTCACGGTGTCCTGAGTCGAATTGGCGTCCATCGGCGGCTCTGCAGTCCTGTCATAGGGATTACTGCAAATCTGGCATAGCTGATTCTTCGCGTACGAGGACGCGTTGTATCTTGCCATTGTCTTCCTGTCGACGCCGTCCACCTCCGTCACTGCCTTAACACCTGCGGGATGCTCCAGGTTGAGGTTGCCATCATCAAACACCCTCGGTTTCGTCCGCCTGCCCTTCTCCTTGCGGAAGTAGTCGAGGTGGTTGCATGTCTGAAAGCAAGGGCTGCCCTCCTTCTCTTCCTGAATCAACCAATATGCGGACACCACAGATGAGAGGGTGTAGGACACCGGGCTTTTACCCACCTGAGACTTGCCAATCCAGATAACGGAGTGGGACATCACATGAGGAAGAATCGGTGCAAGGATAGTGTTCAAAGCCCACGGCGTGATGCTCTTGAAGGTGAGAGGCCACTCCTTGATCGTATTAGCTTGAGAGCCTTGGTCCGCGAGGCACCTCAGGAACTCCTTGATGGTCCCCTTGTCCCACTTGTGGAGCGGGCCGTTCGGATCGTTGACCTGCTCCTCCGTCCACACTGTGAATTGCCCGTCGGAGTTTTCTTCCGGGCCAAACTGACGGATATAGGCGAAGCCCTTGCGGATGTCCTCCGTCTCTTTGGGCATTTTGCTCGAGGCACCGGCGGACACGAGCTTCTGGTAGCGGACCTGGAAGCCGCCCAGCCCCTCGAGCATGTACTGTAGTCCTCGACCACCATCGCGGTACTTGCCCTGCAAGTCGATCTCGAGTGGAACGCCCTGGCACATAGAGATGATGGAGCTGTGGAGGACCTTTGCACCTTCTAGGAATTTGATGTGCTTAATGATGTCTTTCTTGCCCCCTTCCTTGGGGATGATGAAAATCTGCATGTTGTAGGGGGCCTGGAAGTTCCCCTTCATGCGCACGGGCTCGGGTAGGTCGGCATACCGTTGTTGAAGGAACATTGTCTCTACCGCATTCAAGTCAATAGGCCCTTCGTGGTCAGCAATGACATCGAGGAACTGCGTCTTCTTTTTCACGGAGTCGGTGATTTCCATTTTAGCTGGCAAATCGCCTAGCTTAATGGAACCGGGCTCCTTGTTCACCACCATTGGCTTCTCCAGGTAAAGGATCTTCATGCCGTCGGTGTGGGCGATGGCTTCCTCCAATGTGCAGTTGCCGTCCAGGTTTGCGTTGTCGAAGGAACGAGCCAGCGACTCAGCACGATGAGGAGGCACAGATGCCATGATTGGAGCAGAAGGGAGTATCAGGAAGTTACCTCAAATTGAAATGGCTGCAGCAGAGTACACGGAAATTTGATGAGCTTGAGATGCAAGCAGTGTGTTAATAGCCTCCATTGGGAGTTGGGCTAATAGTACTTCAGCCATTAGTTACACACTGCGGGGTCAAACTAAGGAGCCAGAGCTGCGACCACACACTGCAGCCATACCAAATGTGGATCATGGGGTTGGAATATCAGAAAGTTGCCCAGCTTTGCAATGGATGCAGTATAGCACAAGGAAACTTAATGAGCTTGATACGCAAGCAGACTCAGGCGTACATGGTCAGCAGGCTTTTTTCCCTTGCGGCTTGGAAAACTGAGAGAGTAAAAGCAGTCCTAAGGACTGTCCCATAAAAAACTATGGCAAATGCCTCTCACTCATAATCAAGCCAAGTTCATTCTCTTGGAGGACGGTCTCCTCGCTCGCGCTGATCTTGAAGTGCAAGCCTTCGAAGCTGAACACTTCCGATCCTTAGATGGGCAAGAGCAGAAATGACAGCAGAAGGACCCCATAAGAAACTGCAGTTTTCGACTCGATGAAATCGGCCAAGTAGCCACATGGTAGATAACCTACTTTTGTAGGCCATCTGGATGGAGCGATAGGGCTCGGCGTGGCGCTCGTTGCCATGGCTGTTATTATTTTAACAGCCTCCATTGGGAGACGGGCTAAGAGTACTTCAGCCATTCAAATTAAGGAGCCAAAGCTGAGACCATACACTGCAGCAATGCCAAATGTGGATCATGGGGGGGGGGTGAGGGGGGGGGTGAGCATATATATATATATAGAGAACCAAATTGAGATACAACATGAGAGAATGAACGAACAACAAAGACAAGTACGGAAGGAATGATTGTTGTTTAAACAATGAAGAAATACTGAAACCAAACAGACAGGAAGAAAGCTTAAAGTAACAAAATAAATAAAACAAGTATAAACAGTAACAACATAGAAATGAATAGGGAACTAAATACAGTAATACACAAAGACATCAAGACAAACACAAAGGCAGAACAACAGAAATAACGCAAGCCAGAACAATTGAAATAAGCACATAAATAACGATCACAGCAAGACAACCAGAAACAACCACGACCTATACTAAATAAAGAACGGAACCCATCATCATATTTGTACATAATATGCATTATATACATACAAACAACCGAGAGACATAAGACCGACAAGCAAGCAACACAAACAACACACACACACAAATACATCCACCGACCCCGCACAACCCACAACAACGAGGAAGACAGCAAGGCAGGCTCGCACGACAAGCTCTGAACAAGTGTCGTGCTCTGCATCCAAGCCACCCGCGACGCCATGGCGACCACAGCCCCAACCGCCAGCAGCGCCGGCAGAGCCGTTGTCCATGAGGAGGCCGTGTCTCGCGCAGCCGCCGGGCCCTGCGCGAAGGACGGGCCCCGCAAGGCCGGCGTGGGCGTCACAGGCGTCTCCCTTGGCCGGGAGTCGATGGTCAGGAAGGACCTTTGCAGGCCCAAAAACCCGGCGAAGATTGCGGCGCTCAGCAGCAGCCGCGCTGCCATCTTCCACATGGCTCAAGAGTAGGGCGCAAAGAAAATCGATGAGAAATAGGCAGAATGGACGGGTGCTTCTTGACTTCAAGCTATTTGCTGGTCGCGCCCGTGAAAGCAGGCTGTTGAGCCTTAAGTAGCCGGCAGTGACAGGGCCAACGCAAGGATGCTGCATCTCAGGAAAAGTATGGCTGGCCCGAAAGGAATTGATCAAATCCCGGATTGGGTCGCAACGAAGCACCCAACGTCGGGAGTGCTCTTTTTTGTTGTGAAACGCACGCATGGAATCCAGGTAGTGGCATCAAATGGCCAACCTACGCGGGAGTCCAGTTCTTAAAGAATCTCTGATTGCCTTTGATGCCCATGTATTCCTTGTGCTTCTTCCGCATCGCCTCATTCTGCTCGTCCCAGTACTGGTACATCACCTCCTTGACGTAGTCCGGGGAGTAGTAGATGGGATTCTCTAGCAGGTTGTCTGTGTCCCAAGGGTGCTCTGGCTCCGGCTGCCCCCTCTGCACAACCTTCTCTGGGTCGAAGGTGCCATTCTTAATCCTTAGCTGGACATGACTAGACATGACTCGTGCTTTTCGCGGCGATACACCTCTTGTCTCTGGGAATACATAATCTGATATTTGTATGCACGTGTGGATACAGTACATTATAAAAGGACACCATCTCATCCGGAGCTACCTCATCTCACACCAGACACAGTGGACAGCTGCTTTGAGCTTTGAACCTTTCTGGCCGCTATTGATTCTGCCAACAAAGGCACTAAAGTGAAGTAATGGCTGCTTCTTGAAGGGATGTTCATCGAAAAGCGCTGGGGCCCATCCTCAGAAACGCTTGACCGCGTGTCTTGCCATGACATGGCTGTGGGTCAAAACCCGGTACCCCTGGTGAACATCAAAATAGCTGGTACATGTAGTAATTACATGGGTGTGTATCCGCCCCAAAAATGCAGGCATAGGTTGCCCGACAACCACAGCCACATCTGGCCCGAACCGCGCATCGCGCCGAGAGCCGAGGCGCTGCTGGATCCGGCGGGCCTTGTTCTTGCGAAGCCGGTGCTTGCCGAAGGTGTGGGCGTGCAGCTTGCCCCTGCAGCCGAACCGAATCGGATCCAGCGAAGCCGAAAAACTCTCGGGACCCCCGCTTTAAGCAAATCCTAAACGCACAAACAGCCCAACAGCCCAACAGAGCCAACAACTTGAACCCAGGGAAACGCTGCAGTTGCTTGCATGATTGCATGGTGCATGCCTTCGTGAAGCCCTGTGGATATCATGCGCCAATCAAAGCATCTGGCGAAATGGCCAAGAGATGCTGGCATGGTTGTCACAGTATGCCTTTTTTTTTACGAGGATATGTACGTCGTGAGAAACGGTCCAAATCGGTCCAAGCAATGTACTCCTTTCATCGCTTGTAAGTCCCCGATCATTTTAAGCAGTGTCACGTATTTCGTGCACGGGTGTCGGCTTTGTCAGTCCACCTGGTGTGTCATGCAAATTACAAGGCCACCTGCAAACATGTCTGCTTCAATGACTCTGACCCCGTTTCCTAGCTGTCCGCACGTCCATCAGAAATGGCAAAGTCTGTTGTACCGCCCCACACGGAAAACGCAAAACAAAAACAACGCAAAGAATGGCAAATGCCACCCCGCACGAGGTTGGATCCCCCATACACGTGCACTAGGGGGGTTGCAACAAACCTGTGCTCTTTCCGTTCCGCCTATGCCAGGATATTGTTTTCATTCGTCGCGAATGACATGCCAAGCCAGTTATTGCTAAACATGTACAATTAAATCGGTGGATGCCCACAGTCAGGCAAAACAAGTCTCGCTTCAGCCAGGAATCGAGCTGCGCTTGTTCCAATAGCAAACAAACGCAACAGCGAATGCTGTGAACCACTCATCCCCAGCTCATCAGCCATTATGGGCATGTAGCGTGTATCTCCAATTGCTTCTGGTTGGATTGGCTTGCTTGCGCTAAGCCTGCCTGTGTCCCACAGAAGCACTCACAAATACACATGCCAAGCTGTTGCTAAAACACCAGTGATGACAAGCAGGCCCTGCCTAAAGGTCTTCTTGTCATGCCCTCCATACATCGTAGTGCATGTCCCATCGCGAGCCTTGCGAAGCAGATTTCCAGAGAAAAGGAAGGCATACAATGATGTCAAAAAAAAACACAACCATCCGAGGACAAGCAATAATAACACTCTGCAAGTACACAAAGCCCGGTATCCATTGCTTGCAACAAAGAAGTACAACATGGTAGATGAGATAAACCAGGTACATAGCTTGAGCTGCAATTTGCAACAGCAGCTTCTTCTGGCTGTGCTTAGCCTTTCATCCAGGTCACCCGCGACGCCATGGCGACCACAGCCCCAACCGCCAGCAGCGCCGGCAGAGCCGTTGTCCATGAGATGGCCGTGTCTCGCGCAGCCGCCGGGCCCTGTGCGAAGGACGGGCCCCGCAAGGCCGGCGTGGGCGTCACAGGCGTCTCCCTTGGCCGGGAGTCGATGGTCAGGAAGGAGCTTTGCAGGCCCAAAAACCCGGCGAAGATTGCGGCGCTTAGCAGCAGCCGCGCTGCCATCTTCCACATGGCTCAAGAGTAGGGTGCAAAGAAAATCGATGAGAAATAGGCAGAATGGACGGGTGCTTCTTGACTTCAAGCTATTTGCTGGTCGCGCCCGTGAAAGCAGGCTGTTGAGCCGCAAGCAGCCGGCAGTGACATGGCCAATGCGCACATGCTGCACAGGAAAGAAGAAACTTGCATCTGGCTGGCTAGAATTCACATGGAATGTCAGCCATGGCCCTAAACCCAAGCCTAAACCAATTTCTAAACCCTTGCCCCAAACCCCTTCATGTTTCAACGAAGACGCCCTTGGCTCCATGGGACGTCCGGCCGTCGACGGCCTTTGATGGCCTTTGGGCCTCTGGGCCGCCCTGCCGGGTTTCCGTAGCTGTTCAGGAGGTGCAGCAACAAGGACGGCTCCCGCACGGAGATGGACATACCCTGCAGCTTGTGCTCTTCAATCTGAGGGGCTGAGTTTTATTGTGCTGTTTAGCCGTTTGTGAGGGGATCACTTTTTTCTATGCTGTTTATCGGGAGGTGTTGTTGTTTGTTTGCGGCGGAATTGACCGAACTCCGCATTTCAGTGGACTGTAGCCATCTCCCCTGTGCTCCCCCAGCAAATCAGCACGCTTCCGGACTTTGGGACCGCCTTTTCGGGTTTCATGTTGAGTGGGGGTGTAAACATGTGTGAGGGGTTGATCTCGAAAACCAGCTAGGCAATGCCCTGCTGAACCAGCCGAGCAAAATCAGACTGGATACCGTCATATTGAAGTACTCTAACACATAAATTGAAATTCCACAGAGTTGAGAGGTTGCACACATGCAATTCTCTGCACTAAATTCAATGAGGCATCCCCAAGCAAGGAGCTTGTGTCCCTCGAATCCGTGAGCCAGTCACAACTAGACATGTCAAAACACTTGGGAAGGTACTATAGTTGCGGCAGAAGCAGTGGCCTTGTGGAAAAATAGATGTCCCTGGTAAATGGAATAAACCCATCTAAACCAGGGGAACCCCTCTATTGTTTAAGCTAACCTGCCAAAAAGACACCTATGGGCAGAAGAGTTTCCATTTCACAGCTCCTGCTCCAGGGTAAGATCCACCCGTTGCGCAGCGCCTCAGCGCCGAAACCAAACCGGGGTCAAGGCAGCAGGCTGGGTGGGTGCCTGGGTGTATCGCTGCACGACCGGGGGGTATCTGACAGGAAACTGCATCTATCCTTCATGTTGGTTGCATGTGCTAGAGAGATATGGCTGTGGGTCAAAAATAGGGGCCCAAAATGGAATCCTGGTAAATGGAAACATGGACCGAACCCTGCGGTCGCCTGGTGGTTTAATTTTGACCCATGCCCACATGCTCTCCCTTAAATTCTGCTGCTACTCACAACGTGCTCCTCTTGACAAAATTGTTCTCAGCTGAGGGCTAGTGCACAAGTAGCCGCCCCCGCCTCCATCGAGTCTTTATAAAGCGAGCCGAGCAAGCGACTAGCTGACAAGGAATCTCTGGACCTACTGAAAGCAAAAGTGACGACAGCTGCTCCGCGCGACAAGCGCAACATGAGCAAATAAAGCAGCTTCTGAGTCTCCAAAATATAGGGCCTCACAGCCTTTCAAACAAGCTGTATCAACATGCCTGGAAGCCGTCTCTTGTAACAAAACGGATGCTCTCTCCCTCCATCTCTTTCTCTCTTTCCCTCTCTGAATCGCTGCTATCTGCATGAGTGCAACTTGCCGACAAATAGGCTCCAAACTCAGGCACCAGTTGTAGGCCAGTGGCCTTCTCATAAAAAGCAAGACCTTGACGATTAGCTAACACCTCGATTGCAGCAGAGGCACTTGCTTCGCTAAAATGGTCCTTGTACTCCGATTTCTCGCTGGCCTACCACGACTTCACTGCGGCCACGAGTTTGGCGCAAGCCTTTGGCCGAAAAGACTCGGGGAAACAGCTGATACAGACTATACTGGGCTGGATAGGATCTGCGATTGGTCAGTGCTACGCAGTGTGCAGATGGGATTGCAATGCGAGGACGATGGCAAATGGATGACACGAGTCCTGCCTATTGCCCTTGCATTTACCTCAAAGCAAGGACTTTTATATTAACGGGAAGAGCGGACCCAAGCAATCCATGAGTTTCGAACATGCATGGGTGTGGCTCACAACAATGGTACCAAAATGGGTTGCCCTGGTAAGTGGAAACATGGACCAAAACCTGCGGTTTGCCCCTCCTGATTTTTGAGCCACACCCGCACCAGGAAGCAACGCTTGAGGTTCAAGCCTCCAAGACTTCGCTAAGCGCCGACAGCAGAACTTCTCGACAGGTCTGTGACAGGCTGAAAAGCGTCAGAAGACTTGACCATGGTTTTGTATCAACATCAATTCGCGTCAGTGTTGCATTTGCGTCAAGAATTATTCTCTTGATGCGCAAGTTAAAGCGGCTGAACCCAAAGTGCAAATGTTCCCGCGGCTTTCTGTAAGCTTTGCTGTTTTTTGATGCGAGGTCGGTACAGAATTCAGAAAACGGGCGATTGGAAGGCCATACTCAACCTAATCAAACCCCCTGAAGTGTCTGCCGATGTGGCCGTTTGAGGTTTGTGTATGGAAGACCTGGGGGTGCGTGGGGGGCAAGGACCTGCAGATTGATAAGGAACCAAAACACCATAAAGAATGCACTTTCAAAAACTCCTTTTTTGATGTCCATGTCGATTTGGGTTTGTCTCCATCAAAATGGTTGGTTTATGTTGGTTTCACTTTGGTTTGCCGTTAAAACTAACCCACAATTCCCTAAAGAGTCAAAGAAGAAACCAGGCCCACTAGGCCACGCGCCTGGGGGCAGCGGAAACACCACTGTGCCGCCAGTGGCTCCCCAGCAAGCCTGACAGGACATCGACGATCACACGGGTTACGGCTACAAGCACCTGGACCCCTTGAAACACAGGTCATTGTATGCCCCACCCAAACAATATTCTAGGGGTAGCTTCCCCATTCTTTTCAGGGATCCTCCTTTCTAGAAAACCACCAGAAACCCTGGGGAAATGGCTGGTTTTTGAAAGGAACGATGGCTGAAAAGAATGGTTGGAATCAGCCCCTAGAATTATGTGCTGCATCCAGGAATGCTTGGATCCAACTCTGATGAGCCTACCCCTTTAAGGCCCAAGATGCGCCCAATATGCGCCATGACAACCGCCAGGACATGTCCACTTCAAGCAAGGCTGTCATTCAGCATGCCCAGTGTGGCCAAATACGCAAAGCATCACTTTCCTACTTGCAAAACTGTAGACGGAGATTGAAACAGCCTCAAACTGTGCACCAGGTTGGAGCAGCAAGCAAGTGCTACCCTAGCGTGATATAATTAACTGACAGTGCTTGAAAACGATGCCTAGCAACAAGGGAACATTCGCTGAACAACATTAAACAAACAACAACTATGCAACCGGCAATCTGGGTGTGGCTCAAAATCAAAAAGCTAGGGTTGCGCAGTGTCTAGTCTTTGGTTCCATTTACCAAGGTGCCATTTTGGTACGTTTATTTGAGCCACACCCATCTTTCCAAACCTGTTTGGCTCCTTCGTTTTGGGGCACTGGACGCTGGGCACTTGAAACAAGAATGCACTGAATGCGGGTCTCAGCAGCAGCTCGTCGCTGGAGCGCACCACTCGGGTAACCACGGGGTTGGCGAGGTCCGAGCCTAGCATTTTTCGGATAGGATGTGTTTGTGCTTGTCTTGCTTGCTTGCCTTGCCTTGCCTTGCCTTGCCTTGCCTTGCCTTGCCTTGCCTTGCTTGCTTGCTTGCTTGCTTGCTGACTTGTGTATCAAGTCTCCCGAAGGGGGGAGGGAAATAAGCGGTGCAGTGTGCTAATCCAACAATGTTCATTGATCCGGGCACCCTGCGTGAAGTACCGGCGTTCCGCCCAACGTTGCAAACAAATATTTCCCCAGCGTCTCCTTTCCAAACAACATGCAGTTCTCTGTTTTGTGCGTGTCTGACGCACTGCACCCTGAAACCCTGATCATGTGACCAATTTGCAGGTGCACACACACACACACACTCTCACACTCACACACACCCAGGCAAGTTCATTGGACAGAGCGAAACGCGTGGCTAAAAATAGGAAAACCTAAACATGGTTGGCTTCCATTCAGCCTTTTGACATCCTATCAAACACCATCCAGGAAACCAAAAGTCACACAAACCACCGCAAACTCAAACTCCAACCACCCTGACCAAGCACTCAAGTCGGCATTCATAGAGCAATGCATTCATCAAAAACCGGAGCTCTATGACTCAGCGCCTTCGGAAAGTCATGGGAAGTCATGGGTTCTTGGGGCGAAGTTGGACCTCCAACTTCAATTATCTGAGCCCTTCGTCGGCGCTTGGTACGGGCATTCCAGGCAAAGTTTGTTTGGTTGGGGGCGTGTCTCTCTCGCCCAAAACTTCGCAACGACCAGGTCGAACGCTTGAGCAGCACACGCACTAATCCCTTGCGGCAGGGTCGGACCGTGTTTTTGTGATATGGGTATGGGTCAAACTTAAACCACCAGGGCACCGCAGAGTTTAGTCCATGTTTCCATTTACCAGGGTTCCAATGGGGGAACTTATTTTTGACTCACAGCCATATCAAAGATGCGGTTTGTGGTTTGTGGGGAAATGACGTGGTCTCACCAGCGGTCATGAATCCAGCTGGACCTTGCTGCCCAAGGCTCTCTTTGCCACCTCTGCATCTGCATCCTTGTCCTGACGGCGTATTTGTGATCCGTTGACATGCCCGTTGGCCTGATGGCGTTCTACTTTCTGATACGTGGACGTGTCTGTGTCTGTCACTGCTTGTGTAATGTATTGCTGTTGACCTTCAACCCTCATCTCAAGGGTGGCTTTATTAAACACCGCAGCCTTTCTACAAGCTTGCTCTTTGCAGATGTTCCTCCTAGGAACTCCAAGACAGTTGACAATTTGACCCTGACAAAACGCAAGCTCAAACACTGCCGCGAAATCACAGACCAGTATACGAATGGTAGAAATCAACATTGAGGAGCGTGCACCGGTGCCGGCAAATGATCACCTGTGACGCATGACACGGAACGGAGAGGCATGAACAACTGATGACCTCACAAATCAAAAAGGGCTCGGCTCCGCTTGCTATGGCCAACATCCCAACAGAAAGCGCTCTGGTCGTTCTCGCCCCTGGTCGTTCTCGCCTCCCGCGGCGAGCTGGGGCCCCGCCAGTTCTGGCCCTGCACCTCTTCGGTCCTTGCGAACCACGACCCTCCCATGGCTGGCGGCTCTATTCCATGACACGAGGAAGGCACCAGCTGAAATCGGGAGCTGAGAGAAAGATTCTGTCGTGGCAACTCCTTTTCTGGGAGGACAAAAGGAGGGTCCAAACGTGGGATGTTTCGTTGGAGACCTTTGGATCCCTCCTTCTCTGGAAAAAATATGAGAAACAAATGAGAAAAACAAGCCCAAGATCGCGAGCCAAATCTCGTTTAAGACGCAAAACTCGACGAGTTTTCTCCGGGCGCGGCACACCATGACGTAGAAGGACTCCGTGAAGGCGCTGCGCCACAGGGCGTAGAAGCCCCAGGCCGGGAGCATCAGCAGCACCGATGCCAAGGCCAGCGCCACCAACTCAGAGAAACGTCGCGTCGCTACACGTGGCTGTGGGTCAAAAAATGGGTTGCCTTAGTAAATGGAGACATGGACGATTTAACCTGGCGGTCTCCTGGTGGTTTAGTTTTGGCTCATATTTAAATGGCTCCCCCGGTAAAAGGCGAGAAAAGACGAGCCACCCGTGTTGTTTTTGTTCTTTGCGAGCAACAAAAAGCAGACCCTTCTTTGAGGGAGAAGCATTAAGTGGAATAATTCAGACCTTGAAAGGGAAGATGTGGTGAGCTTTTTTGGGGATTGGAACCCCGCTTTTGGGTGGTTGACTTGCGAAGCACCAGAAGAAAAAACAGGCTTCGTTTGGGCTTTCCAGGCTTATGGGATCGAGTCACCTATACTGGGCTGCTTCAGCACTCGACCCATGGCTCCAACAACAGCACCTTCCAATCGCTACAACTCGTCCATCTCATGCATCGTGATTAGTCAGATTAGTCGCCAGCGAAGCGGAGAGCCGCTCGTTGTGGCGGTGCGGCAACTTCCCGAAGGCTAACTTCAAAAGCTCATGACAAACCCTCTTGCCAGGAATCTAACAAGGTCCAAGCACCGATCAAGAAGAAGGCCGAGCCAGTTTGCTTGGTTTTGAGAAGCTCGCTGCATAAAGTGCCGGTGCCAGCCAAAGCGGCGGTCATGCAAAAGACTGTGACGATGGTATTCTCGCCGTAGTCATCCAGCTGAACCATTGTGAACACCAATACCACCTGCCAAGCCCTGTACTGTTGAGGTCTATGAAAAGTATGTTCGCATGGAGCTCAGGCAAAACAAACATTGGCCATGTCCGAGTTGGCACGTCATGATGCTGTTTATGTGTCTATCCATGGCTTGCGACAGCAAAAAATGGCATAGTAGCCATGCAACGCAACGGAGGAAGTATCATGAGCAGGCAACTGTTCAACTACCATGATAAGTGGGCCTACAAGAACTCCACGGGAAAGCAGCGTTTGCCAAAAAAGCCCAAGTTATGGGGAGCATGCTCCAGCGCAGCGACGCAACGGTCACAAATTACCAAGTGGGATGCCCCGAGCTTGAGCCCCGCATACCTCCCAAGTCTCTGCAAAAACCAGGTGTGCCATGTCAGGTTCAAGATGTGCCTGTTTTTTTCAGTGTGATGTCCAGATTCCAGGAACAAACGTGGCCCAAGTGAAGTCTAAGTGGCGAAGCACCTCTTGAAAGTTGAAAAGCCCCAACCGAGCAGGATATTCTACATCTTGATGTGGCTAATTTGTTGCCAACAGCAGGATTTGCCAACTGATCCTACATTGCCTTGAGCTGTCTTCATGGATTCGACCTGACTGAAGCTTTGCTTGGATTGTTGATGCCAAATCAGCCTGGTGGTTCCTCAACAATGATCACACCGCTTCCTCTTTACAACTCGAAGCAAAGCAGCAACTTGACAAGGGGTTTCTCCCACACATCTGCGTGGAGCGCGAGTTGCAACGCGATATGCCACGGAACCCGCGCCTTCATGACAGCAAAGTAGCCTTCCAACCAGTTTAGGCCATCGTGACGGTAGGGCTTCACCACCAGTGCCAGACCCAGGTACGCCACACAAAGGAGCAGCGAGATCTGAAGACCTGCGTGGTTTGATTGTTCAAAGGTTGGGAGTGGTTGAATGGCAGTGTTTCAGTTGAATGAGGCAAACAACATTGTGATAATCATATTATAAGGCAAGGCAATCTTAAAACGCACACTGCTAGTTTGTGGTTGGACGGTCGACTAAGTGGTTTGTCGAATCGACCAACACATCGCAATGTCAATGTTGCATTACTCTGTCGATGCTGTCATTTGGATCAGGGCAGGAAATGCCTTGCCAGCTCTGAAAAAGCAATCCACGGCCTCATGACAACATATTCACTTGAGTGACGCTTAATTGCCGGTGTCACAGAACCGGGTCGTTCCCCTAGTGGTTGTGATGAAAGAGAAGCGGTTGAACCAAAACAACCTGGTTGAACATTGGCTCGTCAGTTTCTGGAAGAAACCCCTGAGGAGCATTGCAGAGATCGGACTGACTCTCCTCGCAGATCCCATCCCCCGCTGCCGAGACCCCGGGCCCGAGCGAGCATCCTGGCTCACCAGCAGCCGCACCGTGCCAAGGGAGGTCTTGTGCACCAACACCAGGAGCTCCTCGGCTCATAGTTCAATCGCCTGGAACCCACCTTTAAGGAAACGATCAAAGCCTAATGTGGAACCCAAAAGGGGTCCACGTGTAAGGCAATTATCCAAGTTTTTCGTGGAACCCAAAAGGGGTCCTTTCCCCTAAAAGAGGTTTCGAGATCTGTAAATTGGTGCTTTTTGGGCTCCATGTTGATCTGCCGGGGAGTGCGCTCCAATTTGAGGATACTGTACTCATTCAGGTTCGCTTTCCCAGGAATTGTCTAGCCCAGAAGCTTTCGGTGGTCCAGACCTCCCTGCAGGAGGAAGTCACAACTGTGCGCATGTTGTTGCTTGTCCCAGAACAACGAACTCTATGCTGTTCTTGTTTGTGGTTCCTGCTTTGGATACTCAGCGAGCAACAAGCAGAAGTTCGGAGATGTTCTTGTCCAATGGTCAGAAAGAACTTGCTTCGCGGGCAAACTTCCAGGGACAGTGTGCCATGGCCAAACCTTTTGCCTAAGCTTGGTTGAAGTCATCTGCCCCGCGAGTTCGTTGGTCTCGCCTTCTCATTTGCGAGATAGATTTAAAGCCGGGAGGTGACGAATCATAGTCAAATCAAGGCAAGCTGTCTCTGATGGTCTGGCTTTGCCCGATGCTGTGTAAAAGGCTGATACCTTTTATTGCTCAAGAATAAGACCCCTCTCTTCTATACTGCTGCTGGTGTATGGTTGTGCGTGTTCATAGAGGACAGCTTGTTGCAAACCGCGTCTCGGCTTTTCAAACACACAGCACCGTGCACAACCGGTCTCCTCAGATGAAGCACACATGCCAGCTACGAACAGTTTCACATTGAAACTGCCAGCTCCAAAGTCCATGGCTGACCACAGCAAGTGAAAAGCCTGAGTCACAATCAAAACCTGGTTCTACCCAAACTCGTGTACAGACCGCACCTTTCATGGCTGGGACCGTTGTTTTACTAACCTTCACAAACTCTCTAGGGGTTGATTCCCCATTCTTTTCAACCATCATTCTTTCCAGAAACCGGGCGGTTTCCCTGGGTTTCCGGAGGTTTTCTAGAAAGGAGGATCCCTGGAAAGAACGAAAATGGAAAGAACCCCTAGAAACCCCCGCACCGCGGCCTCACCCGCCTGGCGCGTCTCCGTTGCAAGCCAAGCGGCCCACATGAAGGCGAAGAGGTCGTTCAGACTCGCGCTGGTCTCCGAGAAGGAGCTCATGGTCCTGACCAGCTGCTTCCATTTGGTTTTGCGACCTGGAAAAAATGAGAAAATATGTCCAGTAGTGAAGTCGATTCCCTTTAAAACTAACAGGGCAAACCAGCTGCATACGGACTTCGAACTAAAAGGTGATCTTTTGGGACCTTGGCTAAACATGGACCAAGCCTGAGCAAACAAAAAGGCCAAAAGGTCGGCCTTGGACAACTGGGAGGCCGCGTTTTGCTTTATTGCGTGGTTCTTCATTGTGTGCATGGAACGACCTGAAAAAAATGAGGGACTAACAGGGAGGCTTGAGCCCTTCAATGAGTCCTCGGGACAACTCGCCTCCGCTGGCTCTTGCACTGCCTGTAGCTAGCTTTTTTTCCCGCAGGCAGGTATACGAAAAAATCCAAGTTAATTTAGTCAAAAGGTACACCCTGTTCGCTCCTTGTTTGAGGCTTGCCGACTATCCCAGTGACCCCCTACAATCAATATGTTGATCCTGGATTGCTATAAGGACACATCCTAAATACACATGCTTTGGGACTCCACATCAGCTACTGTAGGGCTTAAACCCGGCATGGCATATCTTTTACTTGGAAATGCGTTGTATTTAGACAAGATCAGGTCCAAACCGCATTGCACTTGCTGTGACCTACCTGTACAAGTACTCAAGCAAGGTTGTTCGTCGGTTTCAAGTTGTGTAGACGTAGCCAACTGCCAACCTATAACCTATGTCAGCATGTCCCATTCAAGTTCTATGAAATCAGGTACTAGAAACATCTACACCAGGAAGAAAGTAGATGGCACCTCTCCCATTGGGTAAGTAAAGGGGATGACTGTACAAAAACGGAGGACATGGTGCAATCTAGCTTCAATATAGCATCAACAGAGATAGAATCAGAAAGGGCCGCTACAATGATTGAGCGGGTTTGTCGCCTACTGATCTTGATGTCTTTAGGTTTTGATTGTGGCTCCCTCCATTGTTGTTTAGTCAACCTTGACAAACGGAGTTATACGCATCGACAAACAGCCAACTGTACCAAAATGTCCCCTGGGTATGAATTTTGATTAGGGGCCCTTTGGTGGACGTCATTTACGTGGGGTTTTATGTCCACCAGCAACTTTTGAAGGGGGGTTCCCCGTTAAAATTCCTAGCCACGTGGCAGAATCCTTGTGCCCTTGGCTCCCTGAAAACAACTCCACTGCTCCGCTCAAAGTTCGCTCGAGCCAATCTCCTGAGCTGCAGCAGCAGCTGCTCGAGACGAAGGCTCAGGCGGCTGTACGCGGCCTGGAAGCTGCCCGTCGATGATCCCACATTGGCGTGTCAACCTGTGTAAATGGGCCATGACCATGGCTAGTGTTCCATTTGGTTAAGACCCCTGGAAGAAAAACAAATATCCAGTAGTGATAAATTCCTTTGAACACCAACAAGGGAGAAAAATATATATCCTTAAGCAAATGGAAGCTATTGTTTCACTTGTAACCCTGATTCTAACCAAATAATCTAAGTGGGCTCAACATCCAAGCACCCCTCCAAAAGGGGGCCAGCACGCACCAAACGGAACTCAAAACGACCGCTAACGAATCACACAGAGTTGAACTGGATAACTTCTCGGCTTACATTGTTTTGTGCTTCGGCTCACCTTTGGCAACACTTGCCGCCTTGCGCATGGAGCTCCGCATCTGCCAGGGATCCTCTTTGCCGCGGCCTTGGGCCGAAGGTGTTGGCACACCCAGTCCCAGGCACCAAACCACGAGAACAGGGATCCGCATGCATGAAAAACACCCGAACATTGCAACTTCTAAGTGGTGGGTTCCAACTTTATTTCGGTGGGAAAGAAAAAGTTCCAACTTTATCTTGGTGTTGACAAAGTTTCACATGTCTCAAAATGGTGGCAAAAACTGCAGATCTTTTCAGGAGGTCTGCCACGAGAAGCCAAAAAAGGAGCACGCCCGGGACTCTGAGGTTTGAAGCGGAGGCATCTCAGTGGGAATTTTGGGAAGTCCAGGCGAAAAGTCCAGGGGGTGGAAGTCCAGGGAAGTCCAGGGAAAAAGCCCCAACTGCTTCATGTTTCGAACACGAGGTTTTTCCTGCCAAGGTGGTCAAACCGCGATTCTCCAGGTTTCACTCTCCCACTGAAACATCACCCCAAAGGAGTCGATGTTTCAAGCCTCTTTCGAGGGGCAAGGCACAGGGCACCCTGTGCTTTGGGTTGTGTGGCAACTCCCCCCCAAAGGAATACCCTGAAAACCCTGAACATAGGTGACCCTTTGGAAAAAACAGCTAGCTGGCTTCGGAAAAACGGAACAACATCCATTTCTACCCCAAACTAACCCAAAAAGGACACCTCTGCACCTGACTCAGGCTCCAGCCACAGAAGCCGCAGCCCACCTGGCCAATTGGAGGGAACGCTACCCACTCCTCCCGCAGATGGACGTGGAACCCATCGGTGTCCTTTTGGGGAAAATAGATGGCCCTGGTAGATGAGAGAAAACCACCAGGTAAACCAGGAACCGCCCTCTATTTTTCAACCAACCAAAAAGCACACCTATGATGGAACCTTTTCGGAGATCAATCCTTAAACAGAGGAAAGCGCCCTTTTGGGGGACAGCTCTCTCTTTTTGGGCAGGGCCAAAAAGCAGGTCCTCTTGTGTTCCCATCCAAGGCCCTCCTTGAGCTGCTTGTTCCTTCCAAGGCGAGCTGGGGCTCGCAATTTCACTGGCTTCCGGATTCCCGAGCTTTGCCAGATTCAAGCTACGTACTTTGACGAGCAGGTATGCCACCATGAGACTTAATCTCATCTACCATTGTAAAGGTGAGTACATAGGGCACAGCTCAACAACAACTACTGCTGGAGAAAGAGCTTCTTCGCAGAATTCCCTGGTCATTGCAACTTGAATCAGCGACATAGCCACCACAACACGTGGTGTTGTATCGGCGTGGTCTCGGGCCTCGACGTGCTGGTGCTGGTGCTGGTGCTTGTCGTGCATCGACTTACCACACCTGGGCCCAAGACGAGTCTGTGAGACAGGATGTGCTTCAGGTGGGTGCTGAAAGCACCAAACAACTCGCGCAAACCGGAAATCAGGAAATCCCCCAAGTAAACGACCCAGGTGAGAGCTTGAAACATTCGTCCAAGTATGACATAACAGCACTGAGCATACCTTCCATATAATTCTGTCGCCCTGTTCACAGCAAACCATTCCATCGCAGCCACCTGATTGATTGCTGCCGAATGAAAACGAGGACGCCACTGTCATCAAGGTCTCGAAACGTCTCTTGCCAATCTTCCTTCGACCACTAGTTCAGTGTCTGAAGGAAGGTGTTTACCGTCCACATGAGGCACAACTTTCGACCAACAAGCACATGGATCGATGACCTAATACCAGGATATGCTAGAGTGTCTACGTGTATGATTCCACTTAGGATGTATATAGACTTATTTGATGTATGCAGTGTCTTTTTTGGAGGGAACCCCTTGTTGAGGTCTTTTAAAGGAAACCAAAAGGAAGACAACACATTGTGGGGCCCATTGTGGGGGTTCCCCTAAAAAGCAACACACCCATGTCTACGGCTCATTGTAAGCCACGCATCGTCCAATCTTGCCAAGGCAGGGACCCCTGGCAGTGCTCGCAAACGTTCTGGCCCCTGGCCGCTAAATGAGTCATCAGGAAGCACAAGTAACCAGGGTTCCACTTTTTAATTCTTCCAAGGTAGACTTCAACCCAGGGGAATATGTCCCTTTAGGAGAAATCAACCACCCTCAAGTCTACAGGTACTGAACAAGTGGAACCCTGCAAGTGATCGATATGGATTTATCGATTGTCTCCATGCATCAGGGTGGTCCTAGGACCCTTTGCAGCAAGCTTGGTATACAGAGATAGTACCTCAAAGTGAAGACCTGCACTTTTAGGCACGCCATATAGGTTTCTCATGGAGCAGGGAAAAGTAGGACTGCCATGGCAAGCATTGCTCAAACAAACACTCGAGCCCAGGGATCGTTGCTACACAACAAGGCCGAGCATTTGTGCAGTGCAGACCAATGCGCGTCTCGGCTGTTTGGCTGTGCATTTCTTCCGGATCACCTAATTAGTTCGCTGCATCCCTGCATATGGGTTGCTTTACTCCGGACAAGTTTCATACCACAAAATGCCTAATCATACGACAATGTGCTTAGATATATATTCACAATGCTCTGTTGGGGGAGAGTAACTTATTGCTCGTGTCGAAACCATCCCAGGAAACAACTCAAGTCAAAACATCCGGTGGAGTTGGGAGCAAAACTATGGTTGGACAAACAAACAAGCGGGGATAGGGAGGCAGCGGGGATATGGAGGGATTCCTTGGCGCCATTTCCCATCTCAAACTTCAAGGTGCATTTGGGAAAAACTCCTCCCGTATCCCTGGTTTTTTTTTCTGTATCCCTGCGACTTGGTTTCCCTGACCTTGGTTGACGTTGAAAGGGGAGCAACAATTTAAATTTTAGCAGTTAAGTGGTTGGATTTCAACTAAATGATTTCAACCACTAAACCACAGTAAGCAAAAATAAGCAAAATGTTTCCCAACGACAACCAAGTGGTGGCAGTTCCATAAAATCTCAAAAGGGTCAAACGGTCCTGCGAATCCCCGGCAGTGCCGTGCAAGCTTCGCCCGCCTCCGGCGCGGTCTCTTGAGCCTCACTCGCTCACTCGGGCAGCTGGCCCCCAATTCTGGGGCCGAAAAAAACGACTTGTGGCCCTCAAGCGAGATGTGTGCGACACAAACTCCTTGTAACCTTGAATTTTGTTTACTTGGGGCCAAAAACCTTGTGACCCTCAAACAAGGGAAGATTTCGTCTGGAATCTACCAATCCAGAATTGTTTTTGGAAGCAGTGGAAGAGGTTGGGTGACTTCGAATGCTTGGAAAATGGTTGGTCTGCCTTTTGGGGCTTGGAATTGGATCTGCTGTTTGATGGTTTGAATCAGAGACTCAGCACAAGCATCTTTCGGAGAAGAGCAAAACCACCATCAACAGTCCCGTTCGAAGATATCTGATCCAAATAACACTATATTTTGTTAACAAATGAACAAACCAAAGAAACAATCGCCGATGGTCATGAACATCATGTGTTTGGAATACACCGAAGTGCAAGCTGATGCTGGCGTCAAAAATACAGTACTGCAAGGCGCACAAGAGTAATGAATGAGGAATGAGAAAGCATCGAATGCTTCAGCTAGGGCAAGGGTCAACCCATCTTACAACGCAGCGAATTTCAAACAACTAAAACGTGCCACTTGTGACTTCACTCCTGCCCTACAATGCCGTGGCAAGCTCATGCTTTGGCCAACAGCTTGCCAAACGTTCACACACCGACTCGTCATGAATATAATAAACATCATCCGTGCACCCAAAGACTCGCCCGCTGTACCAGCATGAGGGTAGTTGAATATGTATACCTATATGCACCTGCATAGAGAGAGAGAAAGAGAGAAAGTCTGTGTGTTTCGCTCAAGAAGTCGTTGCTCTGTGCATGAAGGATGACTAATACCATAGGGCACCACTCTCCACCCAAGCACAATTCTAGTAATTGAACACCTTATATCATGTTACAGCTAGTTCGTGTCGGCGAGCTGACCAACAGGGCTGATACGTCCCCTGCAAGCATGCCCCTGCCTACTGGCTTTGCTTGTTCACTGCATGGATGAGGTAGGTGGACAACATGTTAGCATGTCATGTCGAGGGAGTGAAGCGCACTTTGCATTAAATCAGCACTCAGTAGTTACTTCCTCGCATTGGAATACTGGAACAAAGGGCAATGCACATTGTAAAGTTTCGAGATCGGACAATTCTAGCCATCTACCAGAAGCACTGCCTGCGTTCCAGTCACAATGCGTTTTGCTTTTGTGAGCATGCCTTTGGGTGCCCGGCGCGTCGACATCGTCCACTCTGAAGCCCTGCGAACAAACGACAAACCCTGCGTCCCAGGGGGATGCCTTTGGTACAAGTCCCACTCCCTTTCTGTGCCGCGTTTGATCTGTCAATTCGGCCAGAAGCCCTTCCTTGGCTGGATGGACAAGGAAGGAATTGCGAAAAATGTCAACAGTCCTCCAGCGGCCATGCGAAACATGGCATCTTCTTCTTGGAAGATGGCGGAAGTCCACTTGAAAGTTTAAGGGAACCCCCAAAAAAGACATGCAGAAAAAGGGCATTGAAGATCTGGGCGAGCTGCGCCGATTCCCCCGTTTGCCCCCGCTTTCGAAGCAACTCGCTGCTGAGAGCAACCGCCTGCAAGTAGTCCTTGAGCCGCTCGATGCCACTTTTCAGGTTGCCTACGTTCTGGAGGAGCAGGTCATCCTGGGAGGTGACCATATGCACAAACGGTAGTTTGCAAACTAGAAAAATCAGGCGACCCAGGAAAAGATCCTGAGAAGCATTGCACTTCAATGTTTGCCCAGCTTATAAGGCACGTGTCAAAATGCCTGCAGAACCTGAATGCCCATGAAAGGGATGCTTCGCTGCAAATTGATTGTGATTCAGGCAGAAATGATAGAAACTGATGAAGGTCATCGATCACTCCTGGTGCACGGTAACGAATCCTCTGTCAATCCTTCCTTTATCCTCCTTTCGTTGCAGCCAGGCTGCTCCTGAACCGAGAAAACTCTTCAGTCCGTTGCCCCAATTCTGGCCTCTGCTGAAAGAAATGGGCCATATTGATCTAAGATCTAGATTGCGAAACTGCAAGACAATAGTTTGGCCGCGATGGTTGTTTGATCAAGCACTCGTACCATTACTGTTTCTTGACATGTATCTGGCGGAACGGTGCTACGTACCTCAGCTTGGGTAACAACGCAGGAGTTAAGAGGTGCTTGAGAATCTCCCATGCCAGATTCTTTTGGGCCATGCTTGAAACTAAATGGATTCCATTGGATTCAGTTTGCTTTTCATCCTCTACCAGTACCATCCATTCTCCAAAAAAACTCCTACTTGGATGTTCAACCCAACCAGGTTGCATTTCTTGTGGACCAAAAGGACACCCTCCCTCTTGAGCCAAGCTGCGCAAAGAGAGCTCACTTCGGACGCCTGACACGCGAGCCATCGGGCCCATTTGTTGGATGACTTCACCGGCTATCCACACGATTACGTAAGTATGCATGCATGCGTTCGTGTGTGTGTGTGTGTACTCGCGTACGTACGTACGTACGTACGTACGTCTGCGTGTATGTATGCAATGTATGCAATGTAAGTATGTATGTATGTATGTATGCATGTATGTCTGTCTGTCTGTCTGTCTGTATGTATGTATGTATGTATGTATGTATGTATGTATGTATGTATGTATGCATGTATGCATGCATGCATGTATGCATGTATGCATGTATGCATGTATGCATGTATGCATGTATGCACGTATGCACGTATGCACGTATGCATGTATGCATGTATGCATGTATGCATGTATGCATGTATCCATGTATGCATGTATGCATGTATGCATGCATGCATGCATGCATGCATGCATGCATGTATGTATGTATGTATGTATGTATGTATGTATGTATGTATGTATGTATGTATGTATGTATGTACACACGCAGATATGTATGTATGTATGTATGTATGTATGTATGTATGTACGTATGTATGTATGTATGTACGCACGTACGTACGTATGTATGCATGCTGCATGCATGCATTGCTGCATGCATGCATGCATGTATGTATGTGTGTAGTATGTGTGTAGTATGTGTGTAGTATGTGTGTGTATGTATGTATGTACGTACGTATGTACGTATGAATGCATTTATACATGTATGCATGTATGCATGCTTACATGCATGTATGTACGTGCTGAGTATGTGTAAATCTAAAGTTAGTAGATGCATACGATGCGTGTATATGTTGCTTCAATAAGTATAACCACGTCTGATCTCATGAGGCTTTCAGCTGGTCCGTTGAAAGGATAAAGCCTGCCCCCAGGGACGAAGTCGCATGCGATTGCAAAGAGTAAACACCGAGCGTGACACATTGGATGTCATATGCAAGATAGATATATCTGATGCACGCGTATGTGCAAACCTGAATCGTATTCCAGACTATATAACCAGGAACACATAATTATTTCCTGGTCTCTCCATCTAAACTTGAGCCAAGGTTGCCAATGGAAGCTTCCGAGATCCCCCAAAAGCCTATGGTCCCACGGTCTAGACGCTGATGTAGCTGTCACGGGGCGGTTCACCCAGTTGGCAGCCAGGCGATGTGGTTGTGCGGCTGTCATCAGCAAGTATGTGAAGAAACGGCTTCCCGCGCCTGCGTCAAGTTGCTGGGAAGGTCCAGATGTACCTTGTAGCCCTGAATTGCCGCACCTTGGAAGGAGATAACAAAGCTGCGAAGAGCAGAACATGCAATTCGGCCAGCAAAAGGAAACTGTTTAAGGCTGAAAAAGTCTCTAGCCTTGCAGTCTCTGAGCTGCCGTCAATCTGCAACGATGATTGGGCACTCGTGTAAATATTGGCTGGACAGAATTGCTTTGTCTAGAGTCCAGATTATATTGTGTCTAGGCTCAAGTGCCCATCCAGCTATGACCTTGACTACTGAGTGCCTCTAGCAAGGAACAAAATGCTAGTCTGGCAAGCAGCTGCTTCTCTGAAAGAGAAACTCTAGATGATTGGCCCAGTCACTCCTTGCTTCTTGAGGAGTTCACCACTGAATAGCTTCCTTATTAGCCCAAATGCTTGTGCTTTAGTTCTACAGAGTTCGCGAGAAATGTTTTTATCGTCTATAGGGCGCACATGCGCACTACGTACATCCACCCATGCGTACTGGCACAAATAACGTGGATTGGATTTAGATTAAGATGCCTGGAATTCACCCATGCGCCGGCCTTTCAAGCATCTGTTGCATGAATTTGGTCCTGCAACATGTGACTCGTTCAAGACTGGCAAAGTTCTGTAACCATGCTTTGCCCTCCTCATCATTTCAGGTTCATTCCAGCCAAAACACTGCAACCATACAGGAATGATGTTAAACTCCGTTCTGAGGAAGCAGACCTGACAAAATGTGCGAGGAGCATGCCTGGACTCAAATCCATCTCTTTGCTCGTTTCCCTACAGTATTCCCTCCGGATGTGCTCCTGAATCCCCTCCCACAGAAGCCTCGCACGGATGCTTTTCCATGCCGAAAAAAACAGGATACAACAATTGCGATCTTGCCTAGATCAAACCCAAATAGCACATGATTAGAGTTCGACCCAGTTATAGAATGTATATTTTATTGTTTGCTTCACATGGAGTCACTGGTGAACTGCAAAATGTATCCTAAGTCTACCCCGTTTGCAAATCCCTTGCCACTTGCGCCACTTTCTCCGAGGGGCGGTGCTTCAATGAGATGCCTCTGGAGCCAGCGAGCCACCACCAGGTCAGAAAGACCGCGGAGGGCGGCTGCATGCCTCGGGCTTCCGTCTCTAGGATCTCTGGAAGGTCACAACTCATGTGACAAACGAAGATGCGGTCAAAGCTTATGGGGGCTGGGGGGGAGGGGAGGGAGGCAGCCCAAATAAGCCCTAAATAAGGCCTGAATAAGGTCTGAATAAGGGCTTAATAAGGGTTTTTGTTGGGCTCCCTTCCCCTCCCCTCCCTCCCAGCCCCCATGAAAAGCACCAATCCCAGGGCAAAGACAATGCCGGCATCAAACCAAGGCTTCTTGAAAAACGATCTTCTCAGTCCCGCGCCATGCGAACAAGTGCGCAAATGCTGTGAGAAGCGAAGGAACTCCACAATAGGCAGGCAGGCAGCAAGGCAGGCAGGCAGGAAGGAAGCAAAGAAAAGAAAGAAAGAAAGAAAGAAAGAAAGAAAGAAAGAAAGAAAGAAAGAAAGAAAGAAAACAAGAAAGAAAGAAAGCAAGAAAGAAAGGAACACAGAGAGAGAGGAAGGGAGAGAGAGGGAGAGAGAGAGAGAGAGAGTGAGACAAAGGTAGGGAGATAGAGCCGACCAAAACATCATCAATACCCTTTTACGTGCTTTGCTGGCCATACAAAGTCGCAAATAGTTGCTGCCTAGATCACGTGTTGCCAGCAAAGGTTGCAGCAAAAGAAGGAATCGACAAGTACTAAACCAACGCTTGGACCTACAACCTCGCCCATGGCATGAAGCTCCAAAGTTCACTCCTCGTGAGCCATAGACATCAGATGTATGGCGACTCATCAGCGACTCAGCGACTCAGCGCCCGGCCCACTTCCGCAACTCGGTACCACATGTAGCTTCGATACACCTCGTGTCTCGCAAACTGAAAGACCCAAAGCTCGCCCCAAACATTCCCTCGCCGCACTTCTCGAAGTGAGCTGCTGAACAGTGACCTTCCAAAAAAGTAGAAGAAGAAACAAAAGCATATAGAAAGCAGGCAAGGCAGCGACAGTTGAGGCAGTCAAGCTGGGCATGCAAGACATTCAAGGCCAGTCTTTGGAATTGCCTTGCAGCAATTTGACGCACAAGCATATATTCCAAGGCCCCTTTCGAGTGACATAAGCGGTGCAGTGTTTGTGTGACAAACTTCGGACGCTGAGGTCCGATGGCTTGAGCTTTGCGATCTGCAAGTACCCAGCGAGAGGGCAAAACTAAATCAAGAGGATTGAAAATAAGGGGGAAAACAAAGACAAAGCCAAGAAAAGAGGAACATGGAAAATGGACAAACAAGGGAACATGTAACATGGACAAACAAACACAACCTCTTCACACATTAAGGGAGCCCTGCATCTGGCTGACTGAGGTCTTTTAGTGGCCTGTGTTCGTTGTCTCGCGAAACCAGACGAGCATCGTCCGAACCTGATAGGAGTCTCTAGAATTCACCTCGCAATTTATGACACCCGCATCCAAGGAAACATCTGGTCATGTTTCAACCCCGTCGCTTTCGTCGGATTGCACCCCAGTGAGTACAGCCCGAGTCCAACCCACAAGACCAATTTAGGGACCCCCGCCTCAAGAAATTTCAGGGTCTGGTGCTATCCATGGCCTTAAGTTCTCTATAGTGTCTTGATGTATATTATCCAAAGGAAAGTGACCCATGGTTCTTATTTCTCATAGGTTATATATATATACATATTCTCCAACATATGTTTCCCCCGTGGTTCTTTCAATCCCGCCAAGGCTTGCTCACAGACGCTCCAAAGCCTTCCAGGCTTCTGCCGCGCACTAGCTCCGGACCGACCGACTCCCGAGGCGCGGAGAAGCCGACGAAGGCCAGGAGCAGCGCCAGCAGCAGGAACTGCAGCACCTCCGTCTCCGAGAGCCGTGCCACTCGGGCGGGGGTTGAGGAGACCCCAATGGTGCAAGCTGCGCTTTTTCTTTTTTCGGGGCAGCGGCTTCATTTTTTCTTTCTCTTCTTTCTTTTTGTTTCTTTTTCGGGGCAACGGGAAACGCCAAGAATTCTGGTTGGCTTGTAAGGTGAAACAATGGAGGTTGAGCCTTGTTCAAGTTGCTTTTTTCGAGGCAGCAACGGGGAGAGCCACCATTTTGGGTGGGTTTAGAAGGGGAACCATGCACCACCACCATTTAGGCCTGGCCACCAGTCTGGGGTTCCCCTATGTTGACAAATAACCCACTGAGTAAGAGTGTTTCAGTAGTGTCAGAGTGCATCGGGCAGGGTTCTTCATTCAGTCATGAACATGTGGCTGTATTTTTGGGCGTGTTCGTGCCGGGGAGGAACACTGTCGAACGCGAGAGGTCCGCTTCAGAGTGGGTAGGCCGCTTGTGGTTTGGTTATAGTCTGCCCTGCGCGAAGTCCACTTCCGCAGCGCAACTTTTCAGCTCCATAGTACGTGAATCGTACATGCGCAGCTCCAGCTCGCAAGCCGTGCAGCAGCAAAGGAGGGGACCCATTCGCCACCTATGTCCAGAAACTGGCGGGCAGGTCCAGTCTTACGCCAAACATTACCACCGAACATCTGGCTGGGAAGTTGCGCTCAACTGAACGAAAGCTTCAAAGCTCCAACACGCTGACTTCTGCTGTGGGAACCCTCAGGCGGTGTGCTCCTCTGACCAAGTCTAGTCTGTGCATTCTTCGCACGCCGCTGCCATCTTCATGTTTAACAAAACCACCCTTACACAAACTATTCGCGGAAAACAAAAGGCAAAAACTTTAGCGACCTTCATTGCGAAACTCTTGCAAAAGGTCTTCCGCTTCATACCTGAATACGAGGACCTTTCGGACGACTCCCACTTTCAATGCTGCCAAAAAGAGCAGAAACGCAAACATCTTCAAGCTTGAGATTGTGATGACTGTTGGGCAGGGATCACCCGTTGTACACAGGAAGCAAAACCTTGGTCAACATCAACAAACCGCGGCAATGACCTTGACAAAACCTCAACGCTGCTTTCACACAAGGTTCAGGCGACTCTGCCCGCTTGTCATGAAGCCAAAACATGTTTGCCCCGCTTGACGAAGCCAATGACTCCGAATCGCGATCGGGTTGGCACAGTCATGGCTCATGGCTCGTCCTTCTGTCTTTAGTTTACATATCATGCCTGGCCTTACTTCTCTGGCGCTTGTGTGTCGTTGCTTCCTTGCTTCGTTGGTTCTGTATCTATCGCTTTATCTCTTGATCTCTCTGCTTCTCTCTCTGTATCTCTTGATTTATGTATTTCTGTATTGCTTTTGTTCTTTATTTATGCCTTTCTTTCTTCCCTCTTTCTTTGTGTATTTGATGTGTTTTCTGTCTTTCGTTCTTTCTTTCTCTCATTATTTCTTTCTTTCTTTCTTTCCTTTGTGTCATTAATTATTTACTTACTTAGTCGATTCGCTCTTTCTTTCCTTTCTTTCTTTCTTTCTTGATTTGTTTCTTGCTTTATTTCCTTCCGTCCTTCCTTCCTTCCTGCCATCCTGCCATCCTGCCATCCTGCCTGCCTTCCTGCCTTCCTGCCTTCCTGCCTTCCTGCCTTCCTGCCTTCCTGCCTTCCTGCCTTCCTGCCTTCCTGCCTTCCTGCCTTCCTGCCTTCCTGCCTTCCTGCCTTCCTGCCTTCCTTCCTTCCTTCCTTCCTGCCTTCCTGCCTTCCTTCCTTCCTTCCTTCCTTCCTTCCTGCCTTCCTGCCTTCCTGCCTTCCTGCCTTCCTTCCTTCCTTCCTTCCTTCCTTCCTTTCTGCCTTCCTGCCTTCCTTCCTTCCTGCCTTCCTGCCTTCCTGCCTTCCTGCCTTCCTGCCTTCCTGCCTTCCTGCCTTCCTGCAGTCCTGCCTTCCTGCCTTCCTGCCTTCCTGCCTTCCTGCCTTCCTTCCTTCCTGCTTTCCTGCCTTCCAGCCTTCCTGCCTTTCTGCCTTCCTGCCTTCCTGCCTTCCTTTCTTCCTGCCTTCCTCTTTATTTGTCCGTCGTGCCTTCTTTCTGTCTCTCCCTCTGTCTCTGACTCTCTTCCTCCCTCTGTCTGTGTCTCATGTCCTTGGGAATTCAATTGTGGTGGGAGCCAAGCCGCGTTCCACAAAATATCTAGTTCAGCAAGTCTTCGCTCTTTTATAGGTAACCTTCTCACGACGAGCGACCCGCCCCCCTTCTTGTGCCGAGCATCTGCCAAAGCGAACATCTGCTTCCAAACGCCGTCGCCCCAGCACACAATCTGGGATGCACAGGTATGGGCTGATTGTGCCGAGCTGTATCTCGATACGTCTCATCGGAATGGTGCCCTTAAAAACCCAAATCTGCATAGGCATGCAAATAGGTATCGCAGGGCTGGACACACAAACGAGAGCGAAAAGGTATGAATTGCTGACGGTGTCAGGTCCAAGTCAAGCTTGCCTGGCCCAGCCAAAGAGCTTAGGGACATCCTGGACCTAGCACCAAACGAAGCCATGCTGCAAAGACAAACATCGCTTGGAGGTGGGGACTTGACCAACAAATGTCTAGGACAACTTCACTGCATTTGGAGTGGCAGGGCCGCAGGGGTCCTCGTTCTTCAGCACTTTCTCCATTCAGATCTCCAACATGGCTAATAAACGGCAGCCGCCGGGCATCCCAGCCTATCCGAATTACTCATCAGGAGCCAGATGTGTCTCTGTGTGACGATAAGAACAAAGTCAAAGGGGCTCAATGCCCATCCCCTGTAAGCCAAACAATTCGAGTGTCTTGAACGGCTCAAATCCTCCGCGAGAAAATTGACACAACTCTGCTAGGGCTAGCTGGCTAGCGCCCGCTTCCGTGTGCCATTCGAACATAGGAACTGCTCAATGCTTCCAGGGCCCCACATCAAATACGGGTCATGAAGTCGCCAAGTCGCCAAATGGGGTGCAAAGGGGGCCCTCGATTTTGAAACTCCCCCCACGAGTAGCTCCCATGAGGCCCATAAGTCCGATAAAATACCTTGATTTGACCAAGTCCGCACCCTCCCACACTCAGGTTCCGTGTGTAGAATACAAGTGACACTTGGACTTTTGTGTGTGTCTGAAAATTCGGAGAGTCCAAACAGGTCGGTTTCGGTATCCGGTATCCCTTCAAACCAAATAAGGGATTCCAACCAAAAAAAAACTGGAACATCGACATGAAACTGAACAGCAGAAGGGCTGTATCCTGGTTCCCCCCTCCTTACCAACCCAAAGTGTGTCCCAACCAAAGGACCCAGCCACTTGGGTCATGTAAAACCTGGCAACTTCTTTAGTGGTCTACTCCAATGTACAGAATCAAAAGGAAAAAGCTCCCGCGCCCAGTTGAGTATGGGTCAAGATTAAATCACCAGGGGCCCGCAGGGTAAATCGTCCTTGTTTCCATTTACCCCAGGGCTACCCATTTTGGGGTCCATAATTTTTGACACCCACCGCCAGTTGGGACCGACCCCCTCCCCGATGGATTCGGGGACCCAGGTGGCTTGCAATCCGCGGAGCGCTGCGGTCCAGATCCAGCACCCGCGACCCATCCCCCGAGTCCACGCAATCGAAGACCGCGGCCGCGGTGAGCAGAAACACCGGCGAGAGATACCTCAGCCCGAGCCGTCAACAGAAGACTCAAAAAAGGAAATCTGTGAAAATTCCCCCTAAAACAAGGGTAGAAACCTGTGAATTCCCCCTCTCAATATTTATGTCTCCAATTCCGAGCCGTCAATAGAGAACAAAAGGGGAGCGTCACATGGTCACATGGCACTTAGCTGTCCATTGCCTTCTCGTTTGGAGACTGCGGTACTGACATCTTCAACAAAAACAACAGGGGAAAACCTGAGAATTCCCAATATTTATTTACCCAATTCACATAAGAGTTTGGTGAGGGATCTCCCCCCATTCTTGTAAAAGGTAAATATGGCGAGTGTGCCCCATGACATGTTATTTCCTACCGTTGATGACAAAACATATTGACCGGTGAACGCATTCGCCATGATCAACACTTCTCTGGCCCATGGTCATGGTTCCGGTTGTTGGAATCCTCACCATGGTTGTCCAAGCGCCTCAAGGGGTTGATAACAACCCTTACCACTCCAAGGAAAAGAGTCTTTCGGCCACGGCACACGTGGGTTTGGCTCTATGGGCGAGCTCACACGGGGTGTGCCTAAGAGATACCAACATGACATTCTGCACCATGTTGGAATTTCCGCCGTGTAATCGAACGCACCTCCAATGCAGTATGCATGTTCAGTGGTGGAACACCAGGCCAAAAGGGATGCCTTGGTTTTAGAGTGAGACAACAGGATACATGCTCCGTGCAGGCGCCCACAAGTCTAGCATGGATGTTCCAGCCTGGTGATTTGCTTCCCCAATCTGGGGGCAGCAACCTATCAGCAAAAGTTCACGCAACACGTGCCTGCCCATTCACATGTGCCAGGCAGGCTGCTACAGGTTTCGCCGAAGACCCAACCATTTGATTGAATGCTTTGCGGAATCATACACCAATTGTTGAAGCCGCATTTCAATGTCTTTTATCCGGCTGCCTGGGGCCATGCCAAAAATCAAGTGGGTGGATGTCACGCTGTCAGCAATGCATCTGTTGCAGTGAAAAGGCCCAATGGGACCTTAACATTTGTCACACATAGGAATACCCCCCTCTGGTGAATGATGTTTAGAAAGAAGCATGAAAGAAACCACAATGGCTTCGATGCACCCAAATGGGACTTCTCCGCGAGCAGAGATCTAGGGGTAGATCCTTCTGTCTAGAACCCCCTCCCCCACAAAAAAAAGGGGAAAACAAAGAGAAGTCGACCTCTCGAGACGTCAAACGTCCCAGCTGCAAGGTAAAGCCTCCGCTGATCATCAGCATTACCCGGCGCCGCCGGGAGCTCTCCCTCTGCCGGCATAGCACGAAGAGTATGCAGCTGGCATACCTGAAACTCCGCTCGAGTTGTCCGAGTCTGGAGCTTCTGGGCACCTGCCGGGGTGTTTATTTGAGTCCACATAACCCGGTGGGGTTCGAAATGTGCGAAGCCCTGCTCAAAGGGAATAACTTGTAGGGGTTTAATTCGGAAAACCCACTAGTTGGCAAAAAGTGAAAGTCCTAACATCCAAGCAAACTAGAAAACTGCACCAAAAATAACTTGTGGTAGGTCTACCTGATCCAATGCAAAGAATTGAAAGGGAGGGCGCACTCCAGGCTTATGATTGGGGGTGCTCCCGATCTTCATCTACCCAGGATTGGATGTGGCTCACTTGGACATGACATGACATGACTTAGCTTAGTAATTCTTGCTGCCACTGGGCAATTGCGATACGGTGCGGAACAGAAACAAGGCTGCAGAAAGACTAATTATTCAGGAAATGTATGCCAAAGTACACATTCAACGCACCACCATTTAAAAAAGCAGAAATATTGGAGGCTGGAGCACGTGTTTAACAAAACTAGCTTATCTTGAACGCTTCCGGGGAAAGCACTTCCCCCCAATATCAGAACTATGCTTTACCTAGCCTGTTCGGCATCAATTGTAGTGTACTTAGTCATGGTGTAGCCCAGAATGCATGGCCCGTTATCCCAGCATGCAATTATGTGTTCATCCTCGACCTTCCTCGTCCTTGCGTGGCCTAGCAGCTCCCTCAAGTGCTTTCACATGGCTCACTTGCGCCCCTGAGCCCTGCACAGTAGGTAGGGCAACGAGAAGAGAAGGTACCACCGGCCGTCGGCCCCAATAGGCCTCAGGTCGCACGATCCGCCCAAATTCAGAAGGCTTAGCTGCAAAAAGAGAGTGGATTCAGCGAGCGTAACTCAATCCTGTGTTCCTGTGACTCTGTGACATCATTCGAGGATTTATAGGTTCGGAAACGGAACTCTGAATGTTGCTGCACGCCACACCTGCAAGTTTGGGACATGTGACAGTTGAACTAGCAACCCGGAAGATTCCCTTGAAACCATTTGCGTTCAAACAAGCCCCTCGCTAGCCTCCTGAAACAGCTGGCTCCATCCGGCATTGCGAGAACTCCCCAGGCACTCGATGGCTACAAGTACAGACCTGCTATGAACCCCAGGGTAAGGCTTACCTACGGGGAACCAGTCACTGAGACTCCTCTTGGCCATGGTTCACTGGACATGGTAGCCAAGGTTCACAGAGCCAGACACACAAAACCCAGGAAACGCTTCCGGAATCGACCTCCGCGCCGAGGGGCGCTACGCAGGCAGGCCGGAGAGACTCCACGTTGCTCACCATCAGGAGGCCCAAGTCCAAGATGAACTGCGGACAGCTCAGAATCTCTGGTCAGCATAGTGGCTATGCGCTCCAAACATGATTAGAGTTAGTTCCCAGATATAGAATGTATATCTTGTTGTTTGCTTCATATGGAGTCACTGGTAAAATATAAAATGTATCCTAAGTCTACCCCAGCAAATGGTTCATCTCCGCTTCCGACAAACGAAGTCCCTAAGAGTCTCAAGCTCAGTTCAAAACCTTCCCATCCCGCTCCGCCACGTCTCTCCATCCCGTTTTTGGGACCAAAACAAAAGTGCTGCCTCGCCCGCGGCCAACCAACGCAAGACGCCCCACACCGGAAGGCAAACAACATACCCAAGGAGGGCTCCAAAACGAAAGCCCTCAGTGACTGCCAGTGGATGGTTTGAGCTGAAGGGGATGACCTCCAAATGATAGGCACACGTGGATTGCAAGGACTTGTAAACCCATCTGGCTTGTGAAAACCAAGATGAATGGAAGCTGAGGAAATTGCGAGAGCTGAAGTGGGACCCTACCGCTGGTCAGCCTAATCCGCTAAAGATTGGCAAACAACTCGTAACACACACCGCTCACATTGACAAACGCTTTACGGTCCTTCAAATCTGATTTAGAAGTCCAAACATGTTCCAAAGCCTCTGCCAGACATGCGATCCAAAATGAAAACTCGCACTGACATGCACCTCCTGCGGTCTTAGATGACTCAGCAGTCGCCATTGGCGCTGCCATACCTTTTCCGCGTCTTCCTCTGTCTCTCGCTCTAGTGGGAACTGATATCTCAAGTCTTCTGCAGCCTCGTTTCGCTTGATTAACAACACCATCCCAAACATATGGCTACGACCATTGCACGTTGTTGCTTCTGCGGCGAATAACGGCTAGCTTGCCTTACCTGCCAGAATGCGGGCTGTTTGGTAGTCTACACAGTCTATGCATATCTGAAGCTTGCCCAAACCGCAGAAGAATGAATGATCATCCTCTGCATTCTCAAGGCTGGCCTGGAGAATGTTGCAGGCTCTTTGCCAGTTACCTTCCGAATCACGATGCGTCGCATTCTAAGTCGAGGGTGTTTAGGCAGGGCCAAGAACTGCTCGATGAAAAGTGGCAGGTCTCGCAGTACAGAAACGGAATGGACGGTTTCTTCCAGTTTCCGACTGGCCTTTTTTTTGTGTCCTGGTGCCTGTCAAGTGAATGCAGCCGGGCAAGCATGCAGTTGGGCAAGCGGCTCCCTGGCCTGAAACAACTCGGCATGGCTACTAGAATCAAACGCCTCCAATTCAATCCTTTGATCCAAAAGGAACGACTGCAAACTGGTCTTCACCAACTTAAGCAACCTTGCTCAATGTATGTACGCAAACTAGGGGAATAAGCAAGGGCCGTTTCGGGATGGAAGCCAAGCAGCCTGTCCCTGTCCAGCCTTGGTAGGTGCTGGCCAGCTTCTGTAGCCGATGTTTGCGAGGAGGACAAAGGTCTGCCGAGAGCATGGAGCCAAACAACTGCGTTGCTCCCTGCATGAGTGACCCGTGTTGCCAAGCACGGACAAGCACGAAACTCCGTGAAGCACCGACATGGCCGACACGATGGAGCGCTACGCAATCAGCAGCTTGACAAAGCCTGAGGAAATGCAACTTCGGCAGAACCGGTCCGAGCAATGGGGCAAAGGGCAAGCTCAAATCTTGAATCTGGAATACAGACACAGGCTCGATGCATGGATCAGGCCAGAAAAGGCGCTTAAGGTATGTAGGAACAACTTACAATGTAGATATGTTTGTTTGAGCACTGAAGGGGTGGGAAAGGGCCGAGCATCTCTTTGAGCCCCATTTCGAGCAAATCCAGGGCCTGCACATTGTTCAGCAGGATATTCACGAGCGGCTGCAGCTCTGCCTGAAGCACCGCGAAACTTCGAATACTTCCTGCATGAGAGGCAAAGCAGGGCACGGGCCAGCGGCACGAGGGTTAAAGTCCAAGCTCAGAGCAGGCTCAATCATGTGACTTAGCTCAGTTGTTCAGTGACCCTAAAAAAAAGGGAACCCTTTTAGGGGCTTGGATCATTTTTGGTGGAGAAGCCACCCAAAGAAAGGGAAAAATAATTGGGGCCACTGAACAACTGAGTTAGAACAAGCCACGGCACAGCAAAAAAAACACCAAACGCCATTGGGCTCTGGGGCCTACGGGTCAAGGCGGCCAAGGCTGCACGAAAGCCGAAAGGCCGAAAGGATCTCCAAGTTGGCTCAGGCAACGTGGAAGGTTGCTGACCAACATGCGCCAAAAGGGGCATTTCATCACGGGCTTTCTTCTTTCGCAGGTCTGCACCACAGCCCCATGGGCAGTATTGCTTGACATGTGACCCATGTCAACGTCGACTTTACTAAAGAAGACCATCCTTTGCAACTGCCACGCTGAAGGGACACGCAAGGTTTTGCCAATTCGCAAATTCCTTGCAAACACCAAGACCCAGGTGCTGCCTTTCCAAACTTCAGAACACGCAGAGCCAAAGACAGCAAATGTTTTACTGCACTTTTTAGAATCCTCTTTTGGCTTCCCATTATCCAGAAATTAGGATCATGCTGGAAACTTGAGCACGTGAAGATCTCTAGCTCAGTTGGGGGCACTCATTTGAGATGAGTTTCCATGGAAAGGCAAGAAAGAAACCCAGAGCAAACTGCATCCGAGCTACACCTTCCACAAGCCGCCGCATGGGGCTGTGGTAGAGCACTCGGATCTTCTGCAGCACTCGTCGGGTCCGCTTCCACAACTGCGACGCACGGGCCATTGGGGAGGGAGTTTCAGCCAGTCTCGATTCGTGTGTGGCTACAAATGTGGCAATCTGAGGTGCTGTACGGCTCACCCGGCTTTGTCTGGCCTGCATGCTTTGGTAAGGTAGACTTCGGCCATCTCAGGCATGCTCACGAAAAACACACACCCTTGACAAAGACGTGAAAGGGCCTCGTTCAGTTGGCAATGCAAATCCCGGAAGGTCCCTGAAGCACGTCCCGCAGATTGCAGCGTGGCAGGGGGGCTCATGGGCAACTCAAGCCCTTGCGAGGTGAGCCGCGCTTCCTCTCAGTCACGTCAAAGCCCCTAAATGGGTGTTGAATAGAACGGCGTAGCGTCTAAGAAATCAAATTCTGCACGCTGTCCTACTATTGCATATTCTCAATAGACTTGGTACATCTCCGGGCCGCCATACAAAATGCAAACTGGATGAGAACCCCACAAGTGAAGGCTCGGGTGGCTCGCTTGGACATGCTCGAAACGGCGCGCCTGGTCTTGGTACTGGCTCATGTCTACCTCGGAAACATGAGATCCACTGGTTCTCAGGAAACCGCAAGCTACCCTACAGTGGGGAACCGAAGTTCTACAATGAATCTATCTACATGTGTATAATATGTATGTATAAAATGTGTGTATGTGTGTGTGTGTGTATGTGTGTGTGTGTACGTATGTATGTATGTATGTATGTATGTATGTATGTATGTATGTATGTATGTATGTATGTATGTATGTATGTATGTATGTATGTATGTATGTATGTATGTATGTATGTATGTATGTATGTATGTATGTATGTATGTATGTATGTATGTATGTATGTATGTATGTGTATGTATGTGTGTGTATGTGTGTATGTGTGTACGTATGTACGTATGTACGTACATACGTACATACGTACGTACGTATGTAGGTAGGTAGGTATGTATATGTGTGTGTGTGTCTGTATGTACGTACGTATGTACGTACGTATGTACGTGTGTATGTACGGATGTACAAAAAACATCCCAATCAAATACCCAGTGTTGTTGCTATTGCAAAAAAAAAAACAGAAACGTAGCCATATATATATATATGGAACATCGTATGTATATATATATATATATATTTATTAAATACATATGCACACTATATATATATATAAATAAGATGGTCAATCGGATCAACGACCACATGCAGCGCATTGAACGAACTACATTCCCGCTACTTGCAAGCCCAAATAAGTTTGCAACCTCTTTGCATTGTGCTTGCGAGACTATGAGACCCCAGAACTGGCATCGGTTTGCTCAGTATTTGCCACTTCTACACATAGCCTTGCAACCAGGGTCTGCCTTGACTTCGATACGCCCCTGGACTGTTCGGGGCCAAGAAAAAGTCACATGTCGCACCAATCCACGAGTTGGTCACCTAAGCCCAAGCAGTGCCTAGAATGGGCTTCCGAGGGGAATTTGTTTTGCACGTCCTGATAATTATGTGCAAGTCGTCAAAGGCTGACGACTGAATGTGTCAAGAACCTCACGTTCCCCAGCAGCCCAAGAAAGCAGTGAACCGCCATGTGTCAAAGCCTCGCCTCTCAAACTGATGGCATGCCTTTCATTTGCTGGACATCCTGAATTTCTTGCCACAGTTGAAATGACTTGAATCGGCTGGTTGATTAATTTTGAGACAGGGCAGTCGGTTGGATGCAGTCCTTCTTGGGGGGCAACGAAATGAGAAGCTTCCATATGTGTCTGACCTCCTGGTGCGCAGGACACTTCGAGGCTACTTTGAAGCACCAAACTCTCAAAACCAGTTTCCTGCAGAAGGCGGTTGCAACATGGACTGCAAACCGGGACGTGCCCATTGACACATCCCCCGAACAAGAGACTCAACTCACATTGGCTGAGTTAAGTCGATGTTTGAACCACACGAAAAGGGACATGTGAGGACTCCTGCAAGACTCTTCCATGATAGCCCCGGTGCATTTTGCAACCTTGCTTGGGTGATGCGTTTTTAGGGTTTGGGTTTGCAAAATAGGCTCAGTTTGGTGGCGCAACCCAATTTCGGTGGTAAACATAGTACAACCGAGGCTACAAGTAAGTAACTCCGCTTGCCCCAGTGTATAACTATCGCCACCTCCATCTCAGACAAAAGAGACCTTCAGGCTTCAAGCCTGAAGGAAACAAGCCAAGTCAGGGGAAGTTTAGTTCATGGAATAGTCTTTCTTTCTATCCCTTTCTCAAGTACCCCCCAGTCTCCCCCCACCCCCTCAGTCTCCCCCCACCCCCTCAGTCTCCCCCCACCCCCTCAGTCTCCCCCCCACGCCAACCCCACCCCCACCCCCACCCCCGTTGGCCGAAGGGCGTAGTCTGCCCGCAGAAGCCGCCGCCGCGCCGCGAAGCGCCGCAGGCAGCAGTGGCAGAGCCCGAAGCACAGCTTCGGAGGCGCCACGCCTCGTGACGCGATTTTTGGACTCGTTGGGCGGGGGGAGGGGGGGGGAATGGGGGTTCATCAATTTGGGGGCAAAAAAAGGGAGAAAGTGGGGTTCACCCACATTGGTGGAAACTTGAAAGGAGTTGCGGAGTTCCCCATTTTGCGTGCAGAAACAAAAGAAAGCAGCAGGCTGTTCTCGCTTGACCCTCTTATTCGGGTTGACCATGGTGAGCCCTTTTCGGAGTTGACCGTGTTGAATTGGCGCTGACGAGTTTGCGTAAACAAAGCCATAAAACAAAAGGGAGAAATGCCACTGAACTGAAAGACTGAGTAAGGAAGCACTGGAGAGAAACCAGAGAAGGAGAGGGAGACAGATAAAGAAAGACAAAAAACTAACAAGAACAAATGAAGACAACCGTAAACACTGAACGCACAGCAATAAACAGTGCAAAAACGCATATCAAGGAATACAACAAACAAACCAATTCAATAAACAACAAAGACAAACATACAGCAGTAAACACAAATAGAAAGCAACTACAACTAGAAAACTTGATACAGTAACTAGAAAAGAGAGACAAAAGGGAACACATACAATGTAAAAAAGACCGAAACAAACGGCGAGAAACCAGACGAGCCTTGCAACAAGTCCATGAGCCAATGATCTGAGCTCGCCCTCTCCAGACATGAGGAGAGCAACGACCAACAAGCTCTGTAGGCAACAGCTGGCCCCAAATGCTGCAGCAAACCCAAAAAGATTGCACGGACTACTCCAACATGTCAAACATCACGAAGGGCCAATACAAGCCAAGGCAGCTCCATGCATGATTAGAGATAGGCCCAGTTATAGAATGTACTGTATATTGTATTGCTTGCTTCACATTGGAGTCACTGGTAGTATCCTAAGTCTACCCCAGCATGCTCGTTGCATGGATGGCTGCGTCTCCCTTTATCCTCCAAACTGGTCGGTATGGCACGCTTCACAGCTCGATGGCCACAGGCCCACAAAACATGTGGCCGATAGACTGCTGCTATATCTTGGAGGCAGGCCCGTCGATCCTGTCGGTTTGTTTAAAGGGGCAATGGAAGGGCAAGAAGTCACAAGTCCCCCACCTCCCCTCGGCGCTTCGACCACTTCCCAGCCAGTTTCCGCCTCTGCCTGGGTCCAGCGCCACCCGAGACTTCCAAGAGATGAAGGGGAACACGAAGCCAAACCTCGCGGAGAGAGGTGGGTCGCATCGCCACCCGAGCCAATGCGAAGCCCTGTCACAAAGATATTGGTGAAAAAGTATCAGCATGCATGGGGTGCGAAAAAAGGCTGCACATGCATTTGCTTGCGTGATTGTTCGACATGGCGACACCAGAGGGAAGGATACATCACACTGATTTACTTCAATCCAGGCTCACTTTTAGCTTTTCAGATTCACAAACGCGCATCTTCATTCATGATCGGCTTGGCCATTGAGGAACACGGAGCAAAAGGCTGCGTTCCCTTCTCATCTGTTTGCTGCTCATAGCACTTGGTGCTTGCCATTGTCTCGCTGCTCCCATTCCCTTGCAGATTCGGCCATTCGTTCTGTGATGCAGCCAAGTTGCAGCAAAACGAAGGCAGCGCAGCCATAGATGATCGCAAAGAACGCTACCCAGTCTTCGCATTGCTTGCAAGCACCTAAGTGAAGCAACTGCTTCCCAGGTGGTTGCCCCCTACGCGGTAAACTCAGTCGTGCTTCAATTTACATCATGATTTGACAAGCCCTGGGCTGTAAGCAACAACCATGCCAGGCGTATCCACAGGCGTGATGCGCCTGCTCGCAACATCGACCGCGTTTTTAGGAAGCCCATCGACAAGGGATTCTTTTCAACGGTCATCCTCGAGTGGGGAACAAACTGCAAAAGTAGGTGCCTTGGGACTGGTGGATTTCATCATGCTGACCCAGGGGCTAAAATAAACCCGTCCATTCATAGGGCGATTTGTCCATGGAAAAGTGATGAATCTCCACTAAAAGAGGACGCCACCTATCAAAATCAAGCAGGGGTTTATCAATCCGTGGTCAACATTCCCAGAGCAACGACAACATGAGTAGAGTTAGGCCCAGTTATAGAATGTATATCTTATTGCTTCCTTCACATGGAGTCACTGGTAACATGTACAATGCATCCTAAGTCTACCCCACAAATCCCAGTCCCAGACTTCGCGCGGAGCTCTGGGGCTCTGGGGCTCTGGGGGCGCGGCTCTCCATGAGATCCATGTAGAAGGTCACTGTGCAGGTCTCGCAGCGAGTCCTGCTTCGTGGGTCTCGAGTGCGGAACGCCTGCTTTGGCTGCTCAAAAAAGTGGTACCGGGTCGTCAGTGGCCATTTGGAAGTGGACGTCCAAATTAAAGCACCACCAACAAACACGCGGGTTTGATTTAGTCCTTGGTTCCATTTGCTAGGGTTCCAAAATGGATACCCATTTGGCGGTGGCTCAAAAAAGTGGTAAATGGCACCAAAAGGCAAATGAAACCAAAGCCTAAAACCTGCGGTTTAGCTCTTGAATTTTGAGCACCCAATTGATCTCAAGGTGATTCCCCCGTTCTTTTCAATTTGATCACACTCAGGTGATTCTCTGGGGCTTTGTGGTCTGGGAAAAAGTTGACCCAAGAAAGAAGTTTGTCCTCTTGAGCTCGCTACGGCAAAGCCATGTAACATTTGCTTCAAGTCGTTTAAAAGGCCTCAATCTGGGCTCCGGAGCGGTTCCGTCGCACGTCTAAACGTCTATTCAGCCACTCCCAGGCGCCCGGACACGTCTGGCCTGAAAAGCTCGAGATGTAAACAAAAAGCCGGCAGCTCCATTCAAAAGATATTGGGAAGCACCACTCACTGCACATTTCTTCAGCCCACAGCTGGCATTGCTCAAGGCCCATGGAGTTCACAAAGCAAAGACTAGCGCCAATCGTGAAGATTTTGCTATGACAACTATGATCTCAAACCTAGTAACCTTCTCTACAGACTTGAAGCCACTGCCAGCAGTTGTTGTCACTCCCACTGGCAAACCAAGTCCAACACTGGTGGATTTGATGCACAAACCTCCTAGCGGATCAATACGAGGGTCTCTTTTTTGCTGAGGGCTCTCTTTTGGGCATGCTTGTGGGAAATAAGCCCTCCACAAAACTACTTGATCACTCTAAAACGGGATTTCCTACCCTGGGCACACTCCACTACAAGGCGAGCCCAACCCCCACCGCCGGCCGATTCGCCGATTGAACCGAGCGCCGTGAAACCACGCCTGGCATCGTAGCCGGGGGCGCAGGTGTTGTTCCCCAGGCAGCCCCCCAAAGTGCAGCGCACGGGTAAATCCCCGCTCATCATCCACCACCCTGGCGAACAGTGACAGCACAAACATCCAAAGTCAAGCCGTGCTGTGTGATTCAGTTCTTGGCCTGGTTTGGTTTGTACGCCAAGGGAGGTCTCTGCATGTTAGTTAAAGAATTGTTTGGGTTATATAACGCTATACATAGATCAGGTTTCCCTTGCACCTTGGCATGCGCGTGCTCTTGGGCCACGTTCTCCTTGGGCTTGCTTTGGTAAAGGGTGGCAGCTTGAGGCATCAAAATGGTACAGGTTGGAACGGAGCGTCATTTCCATCCACCAAAAACCAAGGAGCAACGTGGGTCCAAATTCAAAAGCTAATCACGCAGCACCCCATAGTTGGCTCTAGCAGATTGGCTTTTCCTGCAAATGGTGTTTTCCCCGCGAGTTGGTTGGCTTGCCCACATAGCTTTAGCATCTTACAAACACAGTGTCTCCATGACGGGGACGGTGTATGTATGTATGCATGCATGCTTGGACGGACGGACGGATGGATGTACGTATGCATGCATGTATGTATGCATGTATGTATACATAATATGTATGTACATCTTATGTGAGTGAGTGTGTGTACATGATTGAACGGTTGCTTCCTAAAACCATGTCACTGTCCTTGGGGCACACGATGCTCATGTCGTCTATTGCCAGATGTGCACACAAGTTTTAACTTTTTGCTGGCTAGTGGGGCTAGTGGTTCGTGCTGGTTAGTGGGCTAAGTGTTAGCATTTTCTAAAAAAAAAGAAAAGATCCGAGCAGCCAAGAAGGACCCCCGCCCGAAGCGTGTCGCAGGCTTTCCGCAGGTTGCCCGCCTGGGTTCGCCACTGGGGGAGCCAAAGCACCTGCGCAGGTGGAGCCGGTGGGGCAGCTCTCACAGGGCTCCAACCTCAGCTCGAGACTTGCGGAGTGGCTTGGCTGTGGCTCAAAAAACCGGCATTCCAACATGGGTTGCCCTGGTAAGTGGGAACATGCACCAACACCTGTATAACCCCTGTTGTGATAATTTTGGAGCCACACCCAGATGTGCGTGTGAGCCTTTTGAGGTTGGTTGCAAGGGAAACCACGCCTCCCCTTTTGAAAGAACCACCTCCTCTTGTGATGCCAAAAAGTGGGATTCCGTGTGACTACTTTGTCAATTTAAAAGGAGATTCCGTTGGTGTCACACACAGCATAAGACTATTCTGCTTGCTCGTTCAAATCCATAAATCTGTTGGTATCTGACGCCCCGCAAGAAGCTTAACTTGTTGCCAGGGGCCACAGTCAAATCCCACCAAATCAAATCATAATTTGAAGCTCGGATCCGAAGAGTTGACTCATTTGCCCCCCCACTCCTCTGGGCGTTCCCTCCCCGAGGCTCCTCTTGAAGGGACCTTCAGTCGGCTTTCATGGTGGGAAGGGTACACGTCAGGATGCTGATCCAGCGATGCCGCTTTCTTAAGCCTGGCTCTCCCCTTACTTCCCCCTTTGTCCCTTTCCCACTCTTTACCTCCCCCCACTCTTTACCCCCCCCCCCACTCTTTACCTTCCCCCCCCCACTCTTTCAGCTGCTGTCTGAATAACTTTTAGTGGCTTAATGGAAAACCCAAATTAGTTGGCAAGAAGTTAAAGTCCTAACATCCCTGGGCAAAATGCACCAACCCCCCCCCCCACTCTTTACCTCCCCTCCCCCCCACTCTTTACATTGTACATTCCCCCCCACTCTTTCGGCTCCCTTTCTCTTTTCACGTTTCAGGATAAGGCGCTGGTAGGAGCCCAAGAAATCCGCCGCATTCCGCTTCACCGCCTCCAGCACGCTCAGCTCCGCCCGCCGCGGCGCTTGCGCCAGGAAGCGGCCTGGAGCACGGCACTTGGGTCGTGCTTTTCCCCCCGCCCCCCAACTCCCAACTCCCCAAAAAAGGGCCGCCCAGGTTTTAGAAGGCAAAGCTTCAAGGCCTCGCAGCTTGACTCCCAATTTCTCACTCCCATCCCCGTGGTTCTCGAACCGCAACTCTCTCGAGAAGCAGGCGGGTTCCAACCCATCCCCGTGGTTCTCGAACCGCAACTCTCTCGAGAAGCAGGCGGGTTCCAACCCATCCCCGTGGTTCTCGAACCGCAACTCTCTCGAAGCAGGCGGGTTCCAACCCATCCCAGTGGTTCTCGAACCGCAACTCTCTCGAGAAGCAGGCGGGTTCCAACCCATCCCCGTGGTTCTCGAACCGCAACTCTCTCGAGAAGCAGGCGGGTTCCAACCCATTCCCGTGGTTCTCGAACCGCAACTCTCTCGAGAAGCAGGCGGGTTCCAAGTAAAACTTGCGGAGCCTGCTCGCGGAACGTCGCAAGCAAACACATTTTCACAATCGCAAGACCAGCTGAAAGAACTGGGCTGGACCTTCGCCTGAAAAACGGTCTATGTGGCAAACTAAATAGGACAGCTAAAGGACAATACACCAAGAGCTGAATAGCCATCGTGTCCCATTGTCAACTTAAGCAGGGGAAAACAAACTGAGGGACCCTAGGCCCCAGCAACCCCCTTTCCCCTTTTGAGTTGTCATGGGAATTAGATGGATATTCCGATATTGATGTTCAGTTAAGGTTTGCCTATGTTCTTCATCACACGGAGATAGGGTTTGAGGTTTCAGCTCTTTGGGGAACCTTAAGCCTAACCCCCTCCCCAAGACTCATGAAGGATGCATGGGGTTGATTAATTGATCGCCAGTCGTTACATTTCTAGCCGCACAGTTTCCTGGTGCACGAAAGCCACAGTACCCAACAAAAAATCCCGGTCATAGGACCTAACACACCATGGAAGACCATTGTTTGTTGGTATTTACGTTGGGGGATGGAATCAGAAACCAGGATTTCTTACGTGGTGCGAAATGGATTTCGCGACCATCCACAGTATGCCAGCTGTCTGGCCATTTTGAATAAACCTTTGGAGCACTGCAGGCCACGAGCCGTGTGGTCCTCGCACACCCCAATCGCCAAACCTCCTTTTTGGTTCCGGGCCTTTGCACTGGTACACCTACGCCAGAGACGGCAGGCGAAAATGCTGTAAACAGTGTCTTTGCAAGCATCGGTGACAGAAGGCCTACACAGGCAAATGCAGACTTCCATTTTTGGGTTCGACATAAAATTGACGCAAATCAAACTCAGGGGGCCTCTTCCGGATTGCATGCATCACCCCTGGGTATTCAGCCTTGTAATCTCGGCAACCAAAACAAGCAGCTCTCTGACATCCCTACAGGACACCGCTAGCCTGTTGCTATGCTTCACTCGAACAAATTTTGTAGCTAGAGTTGGATGCTGGCAACGGCTTAGGCCGAAAGCCTTCTTATCAAGCGCGGCCAGCGCGGCCGAGTGTTTCTGAACATATGCACCCCCGCCCCTTGTTGGCACTTGTTGGCCAATGCTTTCTGCGGAAAAAAAAGGAAACCTTGCCATCTTGAGCTCGAAATCCATCATCACCCCAGGATAACTTACTATACCCCATCTCCCCCACCGCTTCCGGGAATTATCCCCCTCCCTAAAACCAGAGGCCGAAAAAATGCCAACATGTTTCTCTTTCTTGAGGCGCTCTTCTTTCGGATTGGAGGCAAGGGAACCTCCTTGCAAACCTACCCTTAGTCAACCCTAAAGAAAACCGAAAGCCACCCTCAACCAGCCCTAAGCCAATCCTAGGCCTGGGAAACCAAACCAAAACTCAAGGAGAAGCCACCACAGCTAGGTCCTCCAGTAGAGAGGTCAGAATAAGGGTACCCTTTTTGCGGTAGTCTATTTTTGTAGGGGAACCCTCCCCCCCCAAAAAAAAGGAGAGAAGGGCACCTAGCTGGGGGAGTGGGGGACTTGGACGGGGTCGCCCAAGCGCAAACGCCGCACACGCCGCAACCGCCTGGGGCGCATTTGCAGTCCAGCGCGGAGGCAGTGGCGTTCTTTCCCGTCAACCTCCCGGCCGGGCAGTCCAGGCACGCCTTGGAAGGAGGATTCACCTTGGGCCCTTGGGGGATACTTAAGACAAGATACTTTGTAAGTGGTTAGGAAGCCCGGTTCTAACTCACTTGCCATGGTTGCAAGTCTCCCAGGTAAGTGGGACTATAACCACTTACTAGTACCTTGCCCTTGCAAGTATCCAAGTGCGGTGACTCCTTTGCCCATTGTCTTCCAAACCGGGCGCCGGATTTGCCAGACCCGCCCGTTGGAGCCGCCCCCAATTGTTTCAAGGCAACGATGTTCAGGGTATGCAACTGCTGCTGAATCTTGCGAATAGCTGCAACTGCTGCTCAAAGCTGGTTGTTTCCCGCATTTCCTGGCTTGAGCTGCAAACATAGCCCAAAAAGCTAAACAAACCCCTTGACAACAAATATTTCAACCAGCAGCTAATAACAACTACTAACAACTACTAACAACTAATAAACAACACATCCAACACTCAACCAAACCTTTGGCAAGTGGTTTCCCTTAAAAGCAAGGCGGGGGGGACAACCGGGGTGTCCCGTAGTCCCTCTCCATGACGGAAACTGATGCATGAGTCACACAGGGGAGAACCTAACCAACCTCATGCGGGGCCTACTCCGTGTCAGGCACAGGTACTGAAGAAGATCATGCCTGAACTTTGTTGGTGGGCGCTCATCTGCTTTTACACCACTACAAGTCTGTTACTTAAAACAGCTTCACTTCACTCGCGTTCAAGCTGGGCCATCTTTACCACGGAACATCACGGAATCAACTTCAAACGAGGAACACGGGCTCCGCTGATCCACTGAAGTCATGCCAAGAGCGCTGCGAGTCCAAGGCGCAAAGGCTCCCGGGAGGTTGGCATAGCTGGCCTCGCCACAGTCCAGGCAACTGAGGAAAGGTCCTGCGCGTGAATCGTCGGCCGGCGGCTCGCGATTCACGGGACTCTTGGCCACATGTTGCGGAGTCAAAGCCCGCAGACCTACATCCAGGCATTACAGAAGCAGCAGATCCAAGCTGTCTTGCGAGGGGGACGAGGTGCATCATGAAGGCTGATGACTGGTGAAGGATCATTGCAAATTCTGATGAATTTCGAGACTCTTTTGCAGAAACGAGTCTTGTTACCCAAGCATTTGGTTCACCAGGCGCATCCTTCCAACGCAAACATTCTGAGATCGCAAACCTTTTACAAATGCCTGTACTCTGGACAAATCCTGCTGAGAGACATGGTAAACATACTTTAACACATAGGTAGTGGCGCTATGGCAGACATTTCCTTGACTAAATGCATGTGATGTGTTGGCGTACATCCTTGTTTCTTCTAGACAGACACCGCCTATCAAGAAAGCGATCGTATGATCCTCTGGGATTCTCATTGTGGCCTACGGCTTGCTCCGGCAGCAGCAAACACGGCAGCAAAGACGGTGGCGGAGCCTTTCCTTTCCTTTCAATCTTGGAGAAGTTGATCCTTTATTTTGCTTCGCTGGCCGTTTCTCTCCGTTCCTTTTCTTGTCCTTATTTCTCGGGTTGATCATGTCTCTCTGCCATGTCGGGTGTGGTATGTTCTGCCACGTCCGCAGCCCTCCAAACTAACTGGCGCAATATCTCAATATCTTCAACATCAGCCAGTGTGTCAGAAGAGGTATGACAAAACACCTGCCATTGTTGCGCCAAACGCTTGGGCAAGCATCCACCCTGCTGAAAATACGGCATGTCTGGTTCGCCTCTTCTCTACGTCCCACCGTCGCTTCTCCGTGTACCACATCTTCAGTATCATCTATCCCGAACTTCGAGATTGTGCCGTCACAATGACATTGTGGCGTGTTGATCAACCATGGCTTGTGATTTCCCACCACAGACAGGGTGTTGCAACCGTTGAGACCTCCTTCGGTTGTGCTAAGGGGACAATGCTCTGGTTTGAAGAAATTCGGTCCTACCGCTTTGCCCCCAACCCAAACTATTTTTAGACTCTGCAGGGTCCCGGCCAAAAAGTTGATGTTGAGATTCCGGTCCATATTTGGTTGGACCTGATATGGGTGTGAATCGTGGTTCTTACAGGAGGACATCATGTAGCTGGGGGGTGGTGCTTTCGCAGGTATTCCTCATTGATTCATTGGCACATCTTTCTTGAGAGTACCCTTTGCTGGTTTGCTTAAAGGCAAAAGCAACAGGAGCACCGAGGCCATTTTGGGTGCTCACCCATGAGGAAAACCCATATCCAAAAAAGAAAACAGCAACAATAGGGGAGCCCCCAGAATGGGAGTGTTCCTCTCTTGGTCTTTGCAGTAAAAAAAACAAACTTTGTACACCGTTTGTCCCCTTGGTCTTTATAGCCGTTCAAAAAAGAACAACTTGAAAAAAACAACACGACAAGAACAAAAAACAACAACATAAAAAACGGCCAAGATCCCAGAGCGCCCCAGGCGCAGGCGCTGGCTCCTGCCACCGGGGAGAAGTGGCCAGGGCTGCACTCCGCGCAGGTGTCGCTGCGGTGGCTCTGCCGGAACTGCCCCGCCGGGCCTCGGCGCGTTCGCGTTCCGTTGGCTCGAGCGTGCCGGGCGGCCTTGCCGCTGACTGGTTCCTCTGTTCCAGGGAAGGGGGAGCTAAGTAAAAGGGGTCCAACATTCGTGCTCAACCTGGCATGATTAGAGTTAGGCCCAGTTGTAGAATGTATATTTCACTGGTTGCTTCACATGGAGTGACTGGTAAAATGTAAAATGTATCCCAAGTCTACCCCAGGCTTTTTGATGGACACCTGTTTTTAGGCTTGAGTACACGGTGTCAAAGAATGCCCTTCGGACCTCTCATCCCAGGCACTGGCATTGTCTGCAGGGTTGCCAAACATCTACCCCGAAGCAAGACTGGGCGGCTTCCCGTTGGTCTCCTTTTGCCCCAAAAAGGGTACCTGGACCCTCAAAATTCCCTTAAAAATGGGTTTGACCCCCAAAATTATGGGGTGATATCCCATTTTTATGGGTAGTTTGAGTGTCCAGGTATACCCAAAGCAACCTCTAAAAATGGATCCAAGTCTTTCTTGCGGCCAAATTTGCAACCTGACGCCCCGCGAGGGTTCAAGCACTTCCGTAGAATCCGTGGGTGACACGGATGGAGGAGTCCACTCCTAAACCCTAAAATGACGAAAAGGAAGTGCTGCTTAGAACGGATGTGCTCCAAACCAAGTTCAGCTGGCATGCAGCCTTTTATTGCAAACACACAGCGCCAACCAACACAAGTGCCTGAAAGGCCCTGAGAAAGCTTCAACCCCTAATTATTCATGACGCCTCAGTGGCCAACCACATCGAAAATAGGCAATCAAGCGACGTGTCTCTGCAAGAACCAAATGAACAAACAGCACATGCCAACACCAAACACCTGCGCACAATCGTCGCCCGAACAGGACCCACGAACAGGACTCAAGCCGGTAAAAAACACCACCTAAACCTGCTTCAGTGATCTGTTTCTGCCAATCCTGGCGACTCCGACCAATTCCGCCGCGGCACAAGACTTCAGTCGGACCTGGTAGCTCCAATTGGCCGCCAAAGGCTCGCAATCCTGCGGTGATTTTGAAACCTGCTCCATGTGCAACATGCGGGTGGAGGGCACAAACCGGGCCCATAGCAAACAAACAAATCGAGCTTGGGCCTCTCCCAAGTGCGTTGCCTACTCCACTCCGTGGAGTCTTCACTTGACTCCATGCATTCAAGCGAATGACTCCCTTGCAAACCAAGCACTTGATCTGGCCCCTGGGACAAACAAGGATGCGGCTTGCCATCCAACTTCACAACTTAGACTTCTGTGCCCCCTCCCAGTTCAAAGGGATGGGACTTTGCCGAACATCTTTGCTGACGCAAAAGCAATGGACACTGTGCCAAGGCTCACTGAGGTCATGAACACGAGTAGGCTGCTGCACGGCACACGCCTAGCCAAGCACCTCTTGCTTGTGCACAAGCGCAGAACACCTCAGCGTTCCCGGCAGTCCTCTGACGCTTCGGTGGCGCTTGCCCCCATTGTCAGCCAAATAGGCATCGGGATGACCACTTCGACGTCACCGAAGCCTCACTGAGCCACAAAACAAATTGATAAACTCGGCCATACATATTTGTGCTTTCCCTGTGAACATGTGGAACTTGCGAACAATGGAAATCTGAGAACATTGCTTTTGGATCCAGGTTGCACTTAACTTCTTTCTTCCATGCAAGTTGAGCAGCTGTTCCTGATGCAAGATATGCCCAAAATGAACAGAGACACGGCAACGTAGCATCATGGGGACACTCTTAAAGCAATCAGCTGGTCCTACAAAACTTGTAGGAACGGTCGTGCCACGCCGAACATGGTCAGCATCCATTGCTAGACAATGATGTTGCACAGGACGACCACTGCGATCGCCACCATTCAAGGACAGGCCAAGGTATCACCAAAATATCCCAACGAGGTCAAGTCAGCCAACTGAGCTGCGACTTATCAAGGCGCCTGCTCGCGTTCGATTAATCTCCCTGAGTCAGAAGAAAAAGCAAACCAACCCATACAGCCTTTGGGGCAACTGGGAGCAAAACGCACCAAAAGCGGCTGCATAAGGCTGCATAATTCCTCGTGCTTGGTTTGGACGAGCTCGTCACATCCAGAATATCACCAACTCCGCCAAAAACAAGAGCAGCCGCCTGAAGAATCAATATCATCCGACAATTATTTTTACCCATATCAATACATACGTCAACTTGCACAAATCCACAATTGAATACCATGGGTTGAGTAGTCCACTGGGCGCGATTCGAATTCCCAAAAGGGGTCCGGTGCCACCAGGCAGCTGTTGTTCTCCGGGGTCTCTGGATAGAGATCCTGCAAATCGTCGCCTTGGCGGACAGGGGTCTGGGTTTTTGGAGGGACACAGCACTTGAGCGGATTGGGCCAGAAGCAACTGGGGCCGACAATCCATTGAAGCCGAATCCTCAGAACTGCCTCGAAGACTATAGAGATTGCCACAACCCAAAGTGCTTTGAGTTGCATTCTGGAACGTGCTTGGACTGTGTTGCTTTGCAGGCAAGACACGCAGCGGGCCTGCTGTGGTGCAAAGGACATTGGTGTCTTCACGGCCAGAGACAGCACAGGTACGGTCGCCCACCATGACCTGCAGGGCTGAGGAAATGAGCTAAGTCAGCCAAGTGCAAGGGTTGAATGGTCAATGTGAAGCACTTAAAACGAACACTTGCAGAAAGATTTGAGCAAGATGGTGACCCACGTAGCTGCAACAAATAGAGGGAGCAGCCAGACATAGAGCACTGCGGAGCCTCCAGAAGGCAACACAGTCCGCAAACTAAGACAGCATTCGCTGAAGGTTCTCAGGGCTGAATGCGCAGGTTTACGAATTGGTCCAACAACAGGAACACGCAGGAAACGGCACTGAGTTGAGAAACAGTAAGCGATGCAGTGATCTTTGCATTCTAATCTTGGTTTCAATGAATTTGAGGCAGGTGTCCTCCCTTTGACGCCCTAGGAGGGTATTTCCATCCCTTTCCAGCTCAACGACAATACCGCTGTCAACAACACAACGCAATCGCACAACCCCATGATGTGTCTCGTTTTCTTTGTCCTACTCTTGTCGAGTTTCCCTGTGTGGGGCAGGGCTCCTACATTCGCACGGTGACGACTAATGTGACATCTAAAATCCTCAAATTCCTGCTAACCCTATTCCACAACCTGAGTGTTTCTTCTCGGCTCTGACGCTTAAAATACCACAAATGCCATTAAATTCCCACTGAGGTTAAACTTCCCCACACCCACATGCTGGCCGCCGTCAAAAACGGTGTCCAAAACGAAGGCTGACGCCCAACACCTGAACCTACACCCTAACTTAACTCGCAACTCCATCTTGAATTTCGTGCTCGTCTTCGCCTGCATTTGCTGCTTTGCACTTCAAATCCAGCATTTACGTTCTTTTTTGTGTTCGCATGTGTTCGCCGCCTCCCAAATTCCCGGACTGTGCTCTATGTGTCTGTCTTTGTCGTCAAGTGTGCTTTTAAACTTGGCTGGGAAAGGACACTTGCGTTGCCGATACCTTTCTCGGTAGACCAAGTTCTCGCTTCTCCTACATCCCGGCTGCATTCTTGGCTTCTCCTGGCTCCTCTTGAGCAAAGGCTGGCAGCTCTTCGTATGTCCGGGCTTCTCGAGTCGGGCTGTTCCGCTGCTCCCTTGGCTGTTCTCGGCGTGATTTCCCTCATCCGGAATGCTCGGCGCACATTTGCATGTTCGCCATACTGCTCTGTGCGACTTGTTCCTGGGCTTCTCTGCCACAAATGGCCGCAAAACGAGGATCTAATGAAGGGCAACCAAAAGAACGTCGATTCATGCTGGAGGGTCCCCTCCACGACGAAACACGAAAGTACGAACACCAACCGCAGGCAATGCCGCCTGGATCTTCCCGTTCTCCCAGTTCCCGAAGTTCAGCCCCTCCAGGCGGTACAGGATCGCTTCCCCCACCTGCAAAAGCTGAAGGATGTGAGGCCAAAGTCTTTTTTGGGAACTTGAACGACAACAAACAAAAAGGAAACCATGCTTTGAATATGCAGTCGCATCAAACTCTTGAACCTACATCCACTTGAGGACAAGAAGTGCTGTTGAAGGAATGACTCGCCGAAATGGTCTGCGCCTTCTCAGATGGGCGCTTGGTCTCCCTGCAGCCAACGAATAAACAAAACAAGTTTTGCAGAAAAATAAAGCGCTTTGCGGACTAAACAGGTTGAGCAAGCCTAGTGAGAATTGAATATGGCATCCAAACAAATCGATATGGACCATCAAGTAGCGTGAACTACTTCAGACATGATGTGTTGTTCATGTGTTGCAAACGTCAATCAAGTGGTAACAGTCAGGACTCGGGACAGTAACATTGATTAAAGTGTCAAAAGGTTGCTTGAAGCTGGCTCTTGCCCTAGCAACGCTCACGCAAGCATCATCGACATTAACCCCATCAAGGCATGCAAATGTGGGACTATTGGTTCAGAGCATCGCGCGCTGCAGTTGCAAAATGTGGCACTTGGGAATGGCTGGCTGACTTCGTTGTATAGTCGAAGGATTGCAGTGTTTTCCCATCCTCGCAGACACAGACACGCACACACATACACACACAAAGAGACACATATACACATTACAGACTTAGACAAGCAACGCAAAACACACAAACACGCGACACAAAAACACACCACACACGCACACAAACACACACACAGACACACAGACACAGACACAGACACAGACACAGACACAGACACAGACACAGACACAGACACAGACACAGACACAGACACAGACACAGACACAGACACAGACACAGACACACACACACAAACACAAACACAAACATAAACATAAACATAAACATAAACATAAGCACGCGCACACAATGAACAACTCGCGCTTTTGTTGTGCATCTGGTATGAATCGAATGTATGGCAGATGCTACCCAACTACCCAACTGCCTCCACTGGCCAAGGCTGGTTTGGCGTCACATCATGCGCTTCCGAGATCAGCGGCTCTGGCAAGCGCAGCGGCACCTGAGTCACAAAAAGACTGCAAAGGATTGGCTCTGCCCATGCTAGGAAGGAAGCGCGCGTTGAGGGAGCGGGGGGGGGGTTCTTGAGACATGGCGTCTGGGGGTTTACATTGGTTCCGCATGTGCACAACTCAATGTGCAGCCGCTGAGACTGCTCAAGTTGGAAAAGGATTGCATTTGGCGCAACTCCAGAAACGCAAACTTTGACTACTGCTGCCCAAAAAAAAGGGCCCAGCCACAAGCTACACGGCAGACAACAAATTCTATCAAGGAATTGCGGACCTGCCCCACAGGATTGCGACTAGCACCATGGCGGTGGCGTTGGCGCACGCTTCAAACACCGTCCCAAAAAGGGCATCCCCTGTGTTCAGACATTCCCCGCCACACAAAGCCCCCGTCTGTGAATGTGTCATGTATATAAGCTGAAACATGTTCAAAGCAACCGCTCTGGAATTCAAGGATTCCCGTCATTGGCTGGCAGTGGGCAGGCTCACAAACCCTCAAAAAGCCAACAATTGCCACCAGAAACCTTTGCTGTTATACCTTGACAGTATACTGAGTCATTGAGGGCCAAGAGCAACGTGTGTATGTGTATATACATATATATATATATATATATATATGGTGGTTGTTCTAAATTCCTTTGTCTCGAAACGGCCATTCTTCGCGGATAAACAAGAGACTTTCGTGAATCTTTCGCGGATTCATCGCCGTGCACTTTTCATTGCTCAAGTCGGGAAGTCGCAGCTTTTAAGTACCGGTTTAGTACGCAAAATAAAGTCGCAACTTTTCATCACAAGCGTAGTACATGACATGCACTTGCGCTTCTCCAGCTGGAAAGTCGCAACTTTGCAGCACCAGTACACGAAATGCACTTCCGCAGTTCCGGCAGGAAAGCCGCGCAGCCCCAGCTTGAAGTTGCAACTTTTCAGTACCAAGCTAGTACTCTGACTAGCGCGGCGCTCAGAAAGTACATTCCCTTGCAATCGAAGCCTGCGCTCTCGCGCGGGCTTTCGCGGATCTTTCGCGAACTTTCGCGAAACATCACTCACGTTTCTAAAGCCACCGACTAACACCCGCGCACCTGGAGCACTAACCAGCGAAGCAGGGTATCAAACTGTAGCGTCACCAGGCTTTACCAGGGGACAAACAACAAAATGCTTCAATCAGCTTAGAAGGAAGATTCAGCAGAAAAGATGAGTGTTTCACATATTGCTGATTTATAAGATGCAGCTACGCAAACTTTCGCGAACAAAAAAGCTACTTTCGCAACTCCATCGCGAATCTTTCGCGGAGCTACCTCAACCAACACCGATGGTCACCGAATACTAAACTCATTACAAAGACCTTTAGAACGACTCCCATATATATATATATATATATATATACATGTATAGTATAAACATATTGTACGCATGTATAAATATGTTGTGCAAGTATAAAAGTCAAACTCTACATATAGTTGTCAATATGTCTACTTAAAATGGCAGCATGTACCAACAACTTTTGCATTCAAACTTGTGGAATGTCAGAAGCAGGCATCCGCTTCATGCTAGCATCCCATCCCCAAGTTCGTGCCCAGCAAGTCAAGCTAGCAAGCTCACTGTCTGAGTCAATTCGCCAAAAGTCCAAACTGTTTGCTCGCCACTAAGATGATCTGCCCCAAAAGTCCAGCACCTGTGTGCGTCGTATTTATCTTGCCCGGCACGGGGCATAACGGCAACCAAAAGCAAGCCAGCGACCTGGAAAGTGAATGAATGGGTGTGGTTGTGGAGAGCACCCACGTCGCCCTGAAGGGAAACCAAAAGGACAACGGAGAAGAAGAAGAAAAAAAACTCCCCTCGGAAACCTCAAGGACAACGTAAAAAACACCAGCCCTTCCCCCCGCCCCCCGCCCCATTTTTGGGGTAAGGCCATCTTGACCTGAGACACCAGCCCCGAGGCACGCTTTGCATGTGCGTCTTCAGGCTGCCCCAGGCCACCACAATCTCCACATCCCGACACCGGGCAGGAGTCAGATCGATCCTCACATCCGCGCAACGCGTGTGCAACGCGAGGTTCACGCAGGGGGCTAAATCTTGTTGCCACCTTTGGTGGAAAAACGATCGACCCCCTAGGCCCCCTAGCGAAGCTTTCCTTGTTGAGGGTCTCGCCCATTTTCTCACAAAAGGTGGCAAAAAGACCCCCCTGGATTCAAAAAGACCCCCCCAAAATGAACACATGAACACCAGATTCAAAGCTGCACAAATGGACGGTGCGCTGTGTTTTGTCTGTCCGAAGCTAGTCGAGAAAGGTTCATAAGTGTACAAAACACCACCTCTGAAAAATGTTTCAGTGACAGCCTTGAACAAGAAAATGTAGAATAAAACACCGAGCCCCCTAGTTTGTGTTTGGTTGACCGTTCATGGACTCCCTGACATCGTTGATTGGAGGTCACATGGCCTGGCAGAACCCTGCGGGAAACCAATGGTTGTGTCGCCTTTTGAAGAGGATATCAACAGCTGGCCTTATGAGTATACTATAATCAACATCATCCTGCCAGACCCCATGTTTTGACTTTGTAACCTGCAGAAAGAACAACGGGCCCGTGAACTTGACAACGCCCCATAAGGAAAACCGCGCAACCGTCCATCTGCCCATCTGCAGCCCATCTGCCTCGGCTTCAGCTCGCAAAGGAGATGGGTTTCGTTGACCCGGACCAGGTTGGTGCACACCTCGCTTGTGCTGATGCCTGGCTCCAGCTCAATCGATGGGCCAGAAATCGCCCACTCATGACAGCCCCCGGACCATCTCGGGGAAGAACACAAAAAACACGGTTCACGGCACATGTGCGTCATGTTTTGAAGCGGAGGCAAAACACTTATCAGATTCCATCGGTTGATCGTTTCTGGGTACTGAACATAGGCACATCTCTGACCTCCGATGGGTTGCTTTCACCTTGCCCAAACAAATAGACCAGCCAACACTTCGGAGAACTGATGAACTCAAATCAGGTCTCAACAAGTTTCAAGACACTGCAGTTCATCCATGATAGGACAAAGCACAGGCGGGAATGTTTCAGAATTGAGTGAACTGGTTGATGAAGATGAGCCCGCCATAGGCCTGGCCCAAAAGCAAAAAAACTTGCCCACACTGTTGACCTGAGTTTCAGTTGGGATGTGCCAAAGCCACCTGCCTTGTAGCTCCCTCAGCCGCCGAGCTCCATCCTCACCAGACTCGTAGGTGAGAACGCCGCTGTCGTCTTGGAAGTCTGGGAAGTTGGTGCCGATGATGTACATCCTGGGCTTCCAAGGTTTGATCCGCACACCCAACTTGGGAAGAACAAAAGAAAAGCCACGCCGCGCATATCATGGAACATGTAGAAAATAACTCAAGTGCATGAGGTTTGGGGAGGGGAGGCGATCCCCAATAAACCCGTACAAGGGCAGTTTCTAGCAGACCTCAGTTGGTTGGAAAAGGCCACCACCGAGGGCCACTGCACATTGAGCAGGCGCTTCGCCGTTTAGCGTATTCCTGATGTGTTGCCTGTTGGCCATGGACCAATATGGCTGTGGGTCGTACCATTTTGGGGTAGGTGCACCACCCATTTTAGTCTATTTTAGTGGGGATTGGGATGTTCACTGGGGGGTACGGGATTTTGAGCCATGGCCATACTGATCCTCTGACCATCCAGCAGGCAGCACGCTGTGCCGAAAGAGGAAAAGGGCCCCCCAAAGGAATCAGGGTTGCCTGTGGGGGGGGTGAATTCTTCAGATAGAAAATCACGTCGGCTAATTAGCCTTGCTTAATTACCCCTTAGGGACCCTGAAACAAAAGTTGACCTTTGCACCAAAAGCTCAAAAGGTCGATTCGCTTTGGGCAAGGTGAGTACCAGATGCGTTTCGCAAGCTCTGGCAGTTGCAGAAATATGCCCGTAGTGAATCTAGGGGAAGGGAACCCCCCTGAGAATTGGTGGTTGTCATATGGGTTTTCCTTTCAAGCAACACCTAAAATGGGGTTAAAACCTAACAACATGCGAGTATGCTTTAAATTAGGGACATCATTTACATGAGTTACATGAGGAGTCCAGCACCAGCACCAGTTGTGAGGGTGTTTCATCTGACCGTTAAAACGCATAGCCATATTACACCAAGCCCCTACCCCAAACATTGGTGTTTTCCTTTCACCAAAAAAGGGGCAGTGGCTCCAGGAAAGAAAGAGACCGACGGAAAGCACACCCACTGGCTCACTGAGCACCCAGAAAACTCGCCGGGGCACTGGCCCCCGTCCTTGATCTGCAGCGTGGGCTGCGAGAAGTTGTCGATGGTCGGCGACCTGTAACCTCGGCTTAAGGCCTGGATTGCAGAAAACTGAGGAACCCAAGTTCTGATCCAAAGCCAAAAATAGCAAAACTGCTTGGCAAATCTGGGAATCATGTTTACTGCCACATTTGCTGTGTTGCGCAATTTACTGTTTTCTGATCCTGCAGGCTGTGGGTCAAAAATAGGGAAACCCCAAAATGGCTTGCCCTGGTAAATGGAAACATAAAATCTGCGGCCCGTTGGTTAGTGTGACTTGCAAGGCCAAGATGTATCCTTCAGGCAATCCTGGGAACGTGCGGGACCAGCTTGTTGGTTGCTGGCGGTCACGATTGCTACTGCAAAGAACGTGTCACATGGGCGAAACTTAGCGCCAGGGTCTCGCTTCAGGTAGTGCATGGTCCATGCGTTGGGTAACCAGCGGGAGATCCTCAACTCGCCAAAGCACCAGAACCAAACTCGTCATGCCTTGCACTAGACTTGAAAACGTCTTCGCATTGTACTCCTGATTGCGGAGCAGACACACACACACACACACACCCACGCACGCACGCACGCACGCACGCACGCACGCACGCACCCACACACACACACACAGATACACAGACACACACACACACGGATACACAGACACACAGACACACAGACACACAGACACACAGACACGACAAAAGACACACAGACACACAGAGACACAGACACACAGACACGACAAAAGACACACAGACACACAGAGACACACACAGAGACACACACACAGACACACAGAGACACACACAGAGACACACACACAGACACACACAGACACACACAGACACACACAGACACACACACACAAACACACACAGACACACACCGACACACACACACACACAAACACACACAGACACACAGACACACAGACACACAGACACACAGACACACAGACACACAGACACACACACACACACACACACACACACACACACACACACACACACACCCACACCCACACCCACACGCACACGCACACGCACACGCACACGCACACGCACACGCACACGCACACGCACACGCACACGCACACGCACACGCACACGCACACGCACACGCACATTCACATTCACACGCACACGCACACGCACACGCACACGCACACGCACACGCACACGCACAGCACACCACACCACACCACACCACACCACACCACACCACACCACACCACACCACACCACACCACACCACACCACAACACAACACAACACAACACAACACAACACAACACAACACAACACAACACAACACAACACAACACAACACAACACAACACACCACACCACACCACACCACACCACACCACACCACACCACACCACACCACACCACACCACACCACAACACAACACAACACAACACAACACAACACAACACAACACACACACCACACACACAACACACACACACACACGCGCGCGCGCCAATGCGCATACACACATATTTACCCATACATAACGGGAAAACACCGAAAGCTATTCGCTTTGAGCTCGCACCTCGCAACACGAGGGCGCCCGCGCTTCCCACTTCCAGTGCTCGCCAGGGAGCTGATGACCCACGGCACCTCCAAGAGCTCCACCCTCGGAAGCAACTCCCATGGGAGGGGTTACTTTATTTGAGAAGCAAAAGAAAGGGGTTAAGAAAAAGAAAAAGAAAGGGGGTTACTCCCATGGGTTATTTGAGAAGCAAAAGAAAACTGTAGGGGTGTGTCTGTGTGTGTGCGCGGGTGTTTGTGGGTGGTGTGGGTGGGTGGTGTGGGTTGTATGGGTGGTATATGCATGTGCTTTTCCCAACAGCTGAAAGCTTTGGGGTCTCCGCCCAGATAGGCTCCAGGGCGGTCCGGTGCGGCTCTGAGCCAAGGTTTCACAGGGTTCGGCGAGGGTCGAAACGGAGCGCCGCGTGCTGTTGGAAATATCACCCAAAAAAAGCCCCATGGGTGTGCTCCCGTGCGAATTTGGGACACCAAAGGTAAAGCCAAGCTTCTCTGGGGCCGGGAAATAAAGACCCGTTGTTTTCAAGAATCATGGAAGTGGACAAGGGACCTCAAGAGAGAGGTTGCCAAAAACCCCTGTCAATTTTCGTGACTGGACAGGAAGGAAAGGAAAGGAGACCCAACTAGGCCCTTAGGTCATGCGCACGCGCATGAAAAGTCGCCAGCCGACCAATCTGGCGGCTCAACCAGCCGAGCCGGACGAGTGATAGTCCGTGGATGTGCCATGCAGCCACCAGGCGATTGCAGGCAAGTATCAGCGACTATTCCGGGAGTATTTCAGTGCCCACCGTGTGGCCATAAGTGGAAAGTGTTCCGAGTCGCCTTTTCAGCACATTGCATTCTTGGACTCAAAGATCAGCAGGATGGCGAGCAAGAAACATGCTGATGTAAGCCGATGCGCGTGTCATAACCGGGCAGCTAGGGAGGAACCTGCTTTTCGAAGCCAATAAATCGCAGGAATAACATACACTTGTTTGCGATCTCTTATCTCCCCACTCTAGGGGGGGGAAACCCATCGAGGTCGAGAGATCACTCAGCATCCTTCTGCAAACTTTACTATAGTTCTCAAATGCCGAATTAAGAATTCAACATCCCAAAGTAAAGAACCTTTTAACCTGGCTTATGCTCGCAAACCCGAATCATGGCAGAGCCCCAAGTAAAGAACCATGGCTTATGCTTCCCCGGCCCATCCGGTGAGCGCGAGCGCGCCAGAAAAAAAATCGGCAGACCTTTGAAGCTCCGCAATGCAAAATTAAGAATTGGATCATGCTGTAATTATACATGAGAAGGTACTAATTCCCATAATTTGCTATAATTCCCAAGTGAAAAAACAAAATTATCATGGCTTCTGCTCCCCCGCAACCCATGGAACTCGACCACTCTCAGCTGAGATGCCCTCCGTTGGGCCCCAGGATGTGCACGGCCAAGGGCGTGGCACCCTTGGGAGCCAGGCGGCACCACATCTCCGTGTAGCTGACCCAGCCAGAGGCCTCCGAGGAACGAAAACAAGGCACATATGTATATACATAGATATAACATAAAAACATATAAAAAGTTTTTACATATTGTACATGTATCTAATATGTATACAAATCATATTACCTACAAGCAAATGCATATAAGAAGATATATGCATGTAACATAAATGTGTGTTTATATGTTTCACAAACACGTAGCTGAAAACGCTATGAGCTATAGCGGCCATGCCGGTTTTCAGACTTATGAAAAGAGGAACACGTGCTACAAGGATAACCAGTAAGCAGCTACCGACCCCGAAGTGCATATACATTCAGCAGTCCAAATCAAGTCTGACCCCTCCAGCCAGCACAAGCACAACTGTTCAACGGCAAAGCAACTACCCAACAACCTCCTGGAAACCCAAATCACCAAAAGATGACAAAAACAAAAAAAACTACTAACTGGGAATTAACCTGAACATGTAATTGGATCTTTCGGCTTTGGTTGTTCTGAGGTATCGCTTGGTGATTGAGCTTTTGGATCCTGCGGGCTTACTGCCAGGTGTCCGTTGGATTGAGATGCGTCTGTGCGCTTCCCTGATGGTCTGTGGGTGTTGTGTAGCCGCAAATGTGGCTTGCTTGGACTTGATGTCCACGATGGATGAGAGGACAAGGCTAAAGAGGGACAATGTTCCAATCTGAGCCTTCCTTGTGCTATACTGGGTGTGTGGATGATACCTCCACAAAAACAGTTGTTGCACAGCTGGTTCGAATACAAACAAAAGGCATCACGTTTGCTGTGCTATGCTTCATATGATCGACGGTCAAAGCATGCTTGCTCTGCCAAAAACGAACATAGGCCAGATAGTAAGTCCCATGTCCCTCCATTTTGCTTGTTTGCTTGCTCGGTTGGTTCGTTGCTTGGTTCTTCGGTCGATCGGTTGGTTGGATGGTTCGCCAAATAGGAAACTGCACCCAGCTTGAAGCGGTCTAAACAGGAACCGCAAGAGCTCCATTTGAGCAACGATCCAAGGGCACTTGGCTAAGTGTCTAGTGACTAGGCGGTGGCGGTAATGGAATGCTATAATTACGGAGAATGAGCCCGAATCCGCGTCCCAACGTCGTCGCAAAGGCCGAGGATGCTCACCACAAGCGAGGTTTTTTGAAGAGCATGTCTTCTTGAAAACAAGCTGATCAACCCTCCAATCCTCCAATACACGGTGAGCTTTTTTTTACCCAAACTGGTGACGTGAATTTGGCCCCCGTCCGGGCCTCGCACAGCTCTGTGTTGTTGTTCAGCTGTGTGACTGAAAGCCGTATCAGACCTGGGCCCGCACGGGCAAAAATAAAGTCATTGCCGGAAGCTTTGAACCAAAGGCATATCCCCGAATCAGGCAATCAACGAGCGTACCGGGCGATGCATGAGCCGGAAGAACGTGAATAAGTGAAGACGTACAAGCTACATGCTGTGTACCAAGCCCGAGCATTGCGCCTAATCAAGGCGCCAACACATGGGAAGCGCACCATGACAATGCACAAATTGTCGTACCAAAGCTGCTGGAAGCAACTCCTACTTTCTCAAGATCATTTGCATGGAGGGAAGCAGGCAGGCAGGCAGGCAGGCAGGCAGGCAGGCAGGCAGGCAGGCAGTTAGCAACACCCTGACCCACCCGCCCGCCTGCCCGCCCCATGCAGCCACCCACCCAGGCACAGCACATCGCAAATAACATACCACACATCATCCATTACTTGTCACACAAAAAAAAAACACGTTCAAACAGAAACACGCGCGGCTAATAACGTGGACCGTGACATTTCGCAACATATCTTTGCACATCTGTGCACAGTTTGCCATCCAAGGCGGCTCGGACATCATACTGTGGATGGACGAAATCCTGCACCACCTAAGAAACCCTGGTTTCTGATGATCCCCAACGTAAATACCAACCAACAATGGCTTCCCATGGTCGCAAAGTGGTGCGAAATGGATTTCGTCCATCCACAGTAAGACGTGGCGTGGACATCATAAGCTGACCGAGCTTTTCCCTCCGGCTTAGGACTCGGCCACTGCCCGCTAAGAGCTCATGGCTTCCAAAGCCTTGGCCTGGCCCGTCCGGCGCCAATGGAGAGGGGGCGTCCTACCGCCCTGCCAACCTCTCACTTTGTGAGTGGACTGGCCAAACAAACATGGCCAAACAAAGTCTGAAAACGGTCTACTCACCACCAACATGGTCTTTCCACAAAAAAAATAAGATCATGAACTCAGGAACTGAGTCTGTGATTGGAGGCAAGATACTCCAAAGGCAACTTCTCGCCCCCCCACTTTGAGCCACACGCCCTTGCAGCCATGCCCTTCCCTAATGCAGACGTGAAACACATCTGGATATATGTTTCGGGGGTAAGAAACTTCCAGGTTGTGCGAGGTCGCAAACCCACCTCGTGAGTTCGCTATAACTTGCGACATGAAATTCAAAGGAGCACCCCCACAAAGGCTTCAGAGTGCCATGTCAGAGGTGCAAATAGTCTATCCTCCCAAGACTCTACTGTGCGCCAGCATCGGGAAGTGATCCCGGCGTTTGCGATTCTTTAACTTGCAAATAAGACAGAAGAAGACCAAAGTGTTGCCTGATGCTACAGGCCCTGGCCCAAGGCATATCTGCAACACCACTCACATCAAAGAAAGGGTGAGGAAGGCCACCCGACAACACCCGCAACTAATGAATTGGCACGCTCTGTCACAGCCACGCATTGCGCCAGCAACAACCCTTTCAGGGAACTCACTTCTTCCCAGCAAAAGGCCTACCACTAGTTTTCAGCAGTGCCGTATGATTGCTTGTGATTTCCTTTCAAACTGCCACCAAAAGGGGGTCCGCGTTCTTCATCTTCCAATTCCGTCACACCAATTCCTTTCCGGCGAGTGACCTGAAACTGCAGCAAGGGTAGTGCTGCGATGGGTCAAAAGGCGTCTTTGTGGCATCGGCAACCCGAAGCTGGGAAACACAAAAAGATGTGGGAAGAGATTGAGAGTGAAGTTACTGATGTTGGCAGTGACATAAGCAAAATCAGAAGCCCGGAGTTGATGTTTGTGGAGATCCTTCATGAGATTCGATCAATATTGGCCAACGCTTGCCTGCCAGCAGCTTAGCAATGACGGCCAAACCCGGGCATGCTGAAAGGGCAGCCGCCACACTTCTGGAAACACAAAGGGTTCCGCGCACGACGGACCCGCTTTGGTGTCAAGTATTGCAACCGACTTCACCGCTACCCGGCCTTTCACGTAAAGCAGGCTCTCCCCCAAGGTGCTGATTAAGACCTGGCGGTGCTGTGGCTGCTATCATCCGATATCCTCCGATATTCTTGCGCGGCCTTGCTTCTCTGCTGGTTTGCAGAAACTCAGCGGCAGCATGAGCAGCATCACACGTTTCTGGCTACATGCCTCATTAAATTTGAAGCGCTCGCCCACCCAAACAAAATCCAGCCTGACAAGGAAATCGTATAAAAGGCGCCCCCGTGGATGTGGACCCCCTTCCCAGTGATTAAGGCCTAAGGCTGCACACAATGACACCAGCGTCCCACTACGTCCAACATGACAAGCCCTGATAACAACATATACTCGAACATCATAGATCGGCTTGCGATGACGGTAAAGTCGTGGCATTCTGGCAGCTGTTGAGGCGCTTTTGACTCTTTCCAGTTTTTCCAAAGTGGCTGTTTGAGGCAACATCCATTTATGTTTCTGAAGCACTATTCCTAGAACGCGGCATTCCAGTGCAATTCCTGCCCACCTCCCGCTTCTCCATCTCATCCGTGCTGCACTGGCCATAGCCCGAGGTGGATATGCAGCTCACCTGGTGTGCAACTGCAGCCAGCCATTCCATACTGGTCTCGCAGGTGCTTTCATCAATGGTTGGCTTTGCTATGGAGACCAGAAACAGCACAATTGCGCCATGACCGCTCCACAAATCTACTTACAAATTGACTCCGTTTCATGCCCATGCGTGGTCTCACTATTCCGACCAGGATCTTCTACATTTACACTGAAAAACCAAGTCCTGGCGCAGTTTGGACCCATCCCCCCAGCCAGGCTCCTTGCGAACGGCAGGATCCACAGAATTTATTCTAAAAATCCGCCGAACACACCTGCCAACAACTGCCGAAGCCTTCGCGGGCGCTAAATAGGTGACCTGGACAAGCGCAAGAGTTTCCCACACCCCCTGTCAGTTTGGGGCTGGCTTTCTTTTCCCGGCAAATTGACATGAGGCCTCCTCCCACTAAGCTTTTGCTTTTGGCTTCCCCATTTCGTGTTGCTTTTGTTTCGTTTTTTGCATCCAGACATCTCTTTCCGGCTCTCCTATTTCTGTCATGACAGCCCTTCTCAAATTCCGAACCCGCCCGCAGGGTTTCTGAAAGGATACATCCAGAATCAATCTGCGATACAACCGTCAACGAGATCCTCCAAATTTCAAAAAGCGATTTTGCCGGGCCCAAACGTAACATGCGTGGCGCTATATAATTGCTAATGTCGTGTACTCCTATTGTGATGACTTACTTTAGTTGTGAAGTACCCCACAAACCTTATGCTAAGTATTTACCCTTCCTTAAACATACCGTACCCCCCAGTGAACATCCCAATCCCCACTCAAATAGGTTCCAAAATGGGTGGTGAATTCACCTACCAAAATGGGATCCCGTTTAACGGTGTTGACAACCACAGCCATTTCCCCTTCCCGGTTTAAATCACGGCTAGAACCCACAGCCAGACGGCGCAAAGGACGCTCGGCATTCGGCTTGAATCCGACCGCGGCGCCAGAGGCTGGGCGAAGGACAGGCGCTGCGTGGCCTCGCCCAGCACCGCGCCGGCGATCCTCAGCTGCAGCGCCAGATCCTGCCCCGCGCCAAGCGGCCAGGGACGGGGGGGGAGGGAAAGGGGGGAAGGGGGGGGAAGGGGAAAAAGGGGGGGAAAGGGGGGGGGGGAAAGGGGGGGGGAAAGGGGGGAAAGGGGGGGGGTTATGGTGGAGACTTAGGGTCTATTTTGCAACCTCCTTCACTTAGGTTATTGGCTTCTTGGGGTTCTTGGCTTCAAAATAGACTTTACGTGTCCATGGCACGGGGAGGGGGGGGGCAAGATGTGGTCAGGGGCTGGGCAAAACATGGGAGATGTGGTCAGGGGTGGGGCAAAACAAGGTCACTTTAAGGAAGATGGTGGTTTAAGATTTAGCTAAGAAGGCTTTGGCCCAATGATCCGAGG